CTGGTTCTCACCTGGCTAAATAAAGGACATTGGCTGATGGACGGCCGCTGCTTGCATCTCTTGGGCTCGGTGCCACGTTGGACTTGAGCCACGGAAATGAGAAATTGCATCACCAGTGGATTCGGTGCCAGCGCGCAAGATCATGTTAGGGTGTGTGGGAAGAGGGCTCACATTCCCACCTGTTGTGTTCCCCTCCCCCTTACTAACCCCCCCCCCCCTGACCCCCCCCCCCCCCGTTAGTTCAATTCACGAGCAGCAGACTGATGAATGCTTGGCAGTCTGAGCAAACAGATGCGAGTGTGGCTGTGTTGTGATACGTGGCTTGGAGGGGTTAGAGTAAAGTGGGGTGAAGGGGGTGAGCCGGAGGTCATTGTCTTGCTCGTGATAATGATGATGATCAGGGGTCGGAAACCAAAATAAAAAGAAGAGCCTTTGTTTTTCGAACCGCAGTGCTAGTGGCAAATACCAGACTGTGGTCCTTGATGAATAGCCGTCACGAAGCAGCCCTTAAAGAGCCGCGTGTGGCTCCAGAGACGCAGGTTGACGACCCTTGATGATGATAATTCTGGTCGTCGCCATCGTTATGATGGTCATTTGTTCACGACATTGTCAGCATCATCTTGGTCATCATCTGCATCACTTGCCCACGAGATCACGATCAACATCACTGTCAACCATAATTGTCCACTGTTGGATGAATAGATCATCACCTTGTAAATTCCACAATGTGAAGCTTTTGAGTTGTAAGCTTAATTTTACCACTTGAACAAAAGAAACACAAAATGTAATATTTCACAGTGACACAATTTGCACCATCAATGCACGATATCTGTCAATAACGAGTAGTTATAATAGACAATTTTAATAATAATCATCACGAATTACAGCATTTTGTCAATTGACCGCTGGATCATCTCCCAAAACCCCGTGTCGGTCATGGGGACTGCTTGACCATACTTCACCACGCCGGTCAATGACGATGATGTATACGTTGGAGGAAGAAGAGGCCAGCACCAAGCCAGAAAAGTCCTGTTAGGTGCCACTCGCCAACAGCATTTAGCCCCAATAGTCTGTGAAGGCGATACAGCCACCACGTGGGCAACGTGTTAGTCAATATTCTTGGTGGAGGTATGGGAGACGAAGGCGGGGGGGGGTGGTATGATGGGTGTGTATGTAATGGGGGTGGGGGCGGGGGGGTTGATGGGTGTGTTTGTAATGGGGGGGTGGGGGGGTTGATGGGTGTGTATGTAATGGGGGGGGTTGATGGGTGTGCATGTCATGGAGGGAAGGGGTGTGTGCGAAGTGAGTGGTTGCGAGGAGCGGTTCGGATATTACTTACAACTGATGTGGAGGCGTGGCCAGGATTCGAATGCAGATGGATGGGTTTATAGTACAGTCGTGCGCTAACTCCTGCACCACCGCTCCCCCCCCCCCCGGCTCATCTGTAAAAGTGTGAGCATTATATTTCATACCGTTCATAATTCGATACGTAATGCCAAATAATCCTCACATTTCCACACTGTGGAATATGTTGCTCTATCTCTGCCTTCTATTGAGACACGTCTAGACGCAAACAACACGCACTTTTATATATATCAACCAAAACAAACCCATGCAATTGAACAAAAACGAAATATTACCGTGGAATTCTCAATCCATGATATATCCACTGCTGGATGAAGGCCTCGCGATGCGACGATCGATCGAGCAGCACCACACTGCGAAACGAGCCGATTGCAATCTTTTAATCTCCGCTGTGGATGTCTTCTCGGGCGTAATTTCCTCCTTCGTCATTATCGGCATCATTATCGAATAAATAATCGTCACGATCATAATCATCATCCTAGGAATCGTCTTCATCATAATCATTATAATCAAAATCAGCATAATAATTTAATAAAGACTCATCACCGCCAACACCATCAGCAAAATAATTATCACTGTGATCATGTTCAAAATCATCATCATCATTTAATCATGATCAAAACCATCATTATAAAAATTATAATATAATAATTATAATTTTCATCATCATGATCATCCTATCTGTCATTACATTACAACGTTTTGCTGGCTGGCTGGAGGGGCGAACGGACGGTAACATCCAAAGGACGCGCGCGTTGCCAGCCATCATTTAAAACTTGTATCATCACCCCCCGCCTCCTCCTCCATCATCACCCCCCGCCTCCTCCTCCTCACCACTGAATAAAATCAGTCGCCGCGTGGTGGCGTAGAGAGGAAATCTGCGTCAATGGCCAACTCCACGCATTTGCTGCCACCTCCTGATGGCACTGACGATGCCCCTTCGCGCGTCTGTCAGTGGACACACAATGCGCCAACCAAGTGTTGAAGGTGATATCGTGAACACATCGATGATGATCATGATGATGATGACACCTCTTGATTGATGGAATGTTGTTTAATGATCATCATGAAGGAGGGAGGGGGAGGAGAAGGAAGGAGGGAGAGACGAAGGAGGGAGGGAAAGCAGAGAGGGGGGAAAAGAGGGAGGGGGAAAGGAGGGGGGGAAAGGACGGGGGGGAAGGAGGGAGGGGGGGGAAGGAGGGAGGGGGGGGAAGGAGGGAGGGGGGGGAAGGAGGGAGGGGGGGAAGGAGGGCGGGGGGGGGAAGGAGGGAGGGGGGGGAAGGAGGGAGGGGGGGAAAGGAGGGAGGGGGGGAAGGAGGGGGAGGGGGGAAAAGAGGGAGGGGGGAAAGGAGGGAGGGGGGGAAAGGAGGGAGGGGGGGAAAGGAGGGAGGGGGGGAAAGGAGGGAGGGGGGGAAAGGAGGGAGGGGGGGAAAGGAGGGAGGGGGGGAAAGGAGGGAGGGGGGGAAAGGAGGGAGGGGGGGAAAGGAGGGAGGGGGGGAAAAGGAGGGAGGGGGGGAAGGAGGGCGGGGGGGGGAAGGAGGGAGGGGGGGGAAGGAGGGAGGGGGGGAAAGGAGGGAGGGGGGGAAGGAGGGGGAGGGGGGAAAAGAGGGAGGGGGGAAAGGAGGGAGGGGGGGAAAGGAGGGAGGGGGGGAAAGGAGGGAGGGGGGGAAAGGAGGGAGGGGGGGAAAGGAGGGAGGGGGGGAAAGGAGGGAGGGGGGGAAAGGAGGGAGGGGGGGAAAGGAGGGAGGGGGGGAAAGGAGGGAGGGGGGGAAAAGGAGGGAGGGGGGGAAAGGAGGGAGGGGGGGAAAGGAGGGAGGGGGGGGGGAAAGGAGGGAGGGGGGAAAGGAAGGAGGGGGGGGGAAAGGAGATAGGGGGGAAAGGAGGGAGGGGGGGAAAGGAGGGAGGGGGGAAAGGAGAGAGGGGGGGGGGAAGGAGGGAGGTGGGAGAAGGAGGGAGGGGGGGGAAGGAGGGAGGGGGGGAAGGAGGGCGGGGGGGGGAAGGAGGGAGGGGGGGGAAGGAGGGAGGGGGGGAAAGGAGGGAGGGGGGGAAGGAGGGGGAGGGGGGAAAAGAGGGAGGGGGGAAAGGAGGGAGGGGGGGAAAGGAGGGAGGGGGGGAAAGGAGGGAGGGGGGGAAAGGAGGGAGGGGGGGAAAGGAGGGAGGGGGGGAAAGGAGGGAGGGGGGGAAAGGAGGGAGGGGGGGAAAGGAGGGAGGGGGGGAAAAGGAGGGAGGGGGGGAAAGGAGGGAGGGGGGGGAAAGGAGGGAGGGGGGGGGGAAAGGAGGGAGGGGGGAAAGGAAGGAGGGGGGGGGAAAGGAGATAGGGGGGAAAGGAGGGAGGGGGGGAAAGGAGGGAGGGGGGAAAGGAGAGAGGGGGGGGGAAGGAGGGAGGTGGGAGAAGGAGGGAGGGGGGGGAAGGAAGGAGGGGAGGTGGAAGGAGGGGGGGGGGGAAGGAGGGAGGGGGGGAAAGAAGGGAGGGGGGGAAAGGATGGAGGGGGAGAAAGGAGGGGGGGAAAGGAGGGAGGGGGAAAGGAGGGAGGGGGGAAAGGAGGGAGGGGGGGAAAGGAGGGAGGGGGGAGGGAGGGCGGGAAAGGAGGGAGGGGGGAAAGGAGGGAGGGTAAAGGAGGGAGGGGGGAAAGGAGGGAGGGGGGAAAGGAGGGAGGGGGGAAAGGAGGGAGGGGGAAAGGAGGGAGGGGGGAAAGGAGGGAGGGGGAAAGGAGGGAGGGGGGAAAGGAGGGAGGGGGGAAGGAGGGAGGGGAGGGGGCTTAATCGTTACCTGCGTGATGATTATAATCCAACACGTCGGCGCTAATTAACGGACGCGGGTGAATTCCTCCACTCACCGGCGCTCAGTCATTCACCCTGCGGTGACTTCCAGGCAATCACAACGACCACGTGCTGCTTAATTAAATTGCCTTCACAGCTTCAACAAGGGGCGAGAGAGCGCCACGTTCTCAATGCTTCGCCGGCTCACTCAGAAACTCTTTACAAGTCTCTATTCACGAACGGGAAAGAAACTCCGCGTTCATGTTAGCATCTTGATTTGCATGATTTTTTTTCATTTTCCGTTCTCAGGTAGCATTGACTTATAAGACATTAAGCACCTACTATATATAAGGCCAAGCAAGCAGTGTTATCATTGACGAATGTGCTGACTTTGTGGTTGTTAATTGTGCTTGTGCACCACAAACCAACGCAGCAGGAGCATCGCCCCAATTATTAGTTAAATCGCAGAATGTTATTCATATGTTAATACAAAAACCTATTTTCCAGGTACAAAAAAATACATAGCGTGGTTGCGTCGAATATAAGTGATGTAATGTATTTATCCTAAACACACACTTAGATATTGTTTATTTGTTTACAATATTAATAACTCAAGCTTCAACTTTGGAGTTTTACATCATGACCACAGAGACCGTACCCCTAATATCAATAACAACACAAATATTATGAAGATTCAAATTATATCCGGAATACTGAATCCTGATTTTTTTACATTCCTGAATATCTGGTGACATTACAGGGCATGCACTGATGCATCGTCGGTTAAAATTAACGTGCAATTAATTAACATAATGAAAACTGCATACACCATTAGCGTATGCGAGCGATATGCTAATGTGTGAGGCTAACGTGGCTAGAAAACACGATACAAAACGATACGGAGGAGAAGTAGAACAACAAAGGCGATAACAATGAGACGTTCAAAATTGAGACAATGCAATCCAAGTAATTTAATCGATTCTTCAGTACGATTGAGCGACCGTGATTCGTGACTAATTCGTGTGGATCCTTCGGCTGGCCGTCCAGACACACAGCCCAGTCCGCCCGCCCTACCGAGAACGATCCTCGCAGGAACTCCGTTTAAATAACTCGCCCGAGTGTCGCCCTATCGCTACCCTCACCACCGTCATCCAGCAGTCGACCGACCAAAAAAACACACAAGGGAGCTGTAAACGAATCGCTAGTATTGTCTACGATTCGTGCGTATAATACCCGTGTCATTGTCGATTGTTTAGACGGTACGCACAATGCGCCCTGTGGCACCGCCGCTGCTGCTGCGTCTTCTTCTTCCCGTGGCGTGTCTGCTGTGCGCGCACGCCCGCGACGCAGACTCGGCCCCCGTACCGGGGAATCGAACCCGGCTGCCCGCAGCGCCGGCGAGACCGCCACCAGCGGCGGGGTGCGCAGACGATCTCGCAGGCTCTTCGCCGCGTCTCCACGGCCTCCTCCGACTCGCGTGCGACCCTGACTCGGCGTGGAAATCCGCCATCGCCGTGTCCTCCGGCGTCGGAGTCGTCTTCTCCGCCGCGCTGCTCTGCGTGCAGACCAGCGCGGCTCTGTGCGGCTCCGAAGCCGCGCGGAGCGGCAGCCGCAGCCGTCGCCCCGTGCTCGCGCTCCAAGCGCTGTGCGCTCTCGCCACCGTGGCGCTCTTCTCGCTCAGCATCGCCTCCTTGGCTCCCGCCGCGCGGCCGCTCTGCATCGCGAGGCGCTTCTTGCTCGGCTTGCTGTGCGCCCTGAGCGTCGGCTGTCTGCTCGCGCACGCGTGCGCTCTGCTGAGGCTGGCCGCGTCTCGTGGATCTCCGTCGCTCGCCGCGGCAGGCGACCACCACAGCGATCGCGGCATTGACATTCTTCTTCACCACCACCGTCGGCCATGCGGGACCGCGCGTCTCTGCGGAATAGGCTTGGCATTGGCCGCCGTGCAAGCTGCGCTGGGTACGCAGTGGGTGGTGTTGATGACCACGCCGACGACGCCGGCGATGGCGGGAGACCCCTGCGTGCACACGAACCGCTGGGACGTCGCCCTTCCTCTCTTCTACCCGCTCGCCCTCCTGCTGGCCGCCGACGTCGCCTCTCTGCTGGCGCTGTGGCGCGTGACCAGCGCCGCTCCTCGCCTGCCGCGCTGGTGCTTCACGCACGCGCGCCTCCTGTTCGCCACGGCGGCGCTGTCCAGCGGCCTGTGGCTCGCGTGGATCGCGCTCTACGAGAGGCGGGGAGCCGGGGTCGCCAGGGCCGACGGGGTCGCGACGCGCCGCGCCGAGCGATGGGGCCGCGCCGCCACCGCCGCAGCGCCCGCGTGCCAGGCGGCGGTTCTGCTCGTGGTCTACCTGTGGCCGAGTAGCCTGGCCTTGCTCTCCAGCAGGAGGAAGGGGATCGGCTCGGTGGTCGGGGATGGTGGTGCTGGTGGTGGTGATGATGGGGTCCGGTCTAGGGGAGGGAATCCAGGGGGAGTGCCGCTACCGCCTCCACCACCACCACCGCCGCCACCTCCTCCGACGCCGATCGGAACCCAGCTTGTCCGCGGCTCCAGCCAGTGTCCAGGTGAGACGGGGTACTCGCCTCGTGCGGTGTGACTCAGCCCGCGGGCGGAGCAATCGTAACTTACCCGGCGAGGTGTGACTTAGCTGGTGGGGATCAGACTCAAACAGGGGAAGAGACATTTTTTTGTTTTTACTCCCAGGTGTGATCTGACTCACCCGGTGAAACTGTGGCTCGCTTTGGTGAGGTCACCGGGTGAGGACTAGACTCTCAACCTGGTGATTTGTCTAACACGCAATTAACTTACCGATAAAAATCACAATCCATTAATTAATTATTGCATTGACAGATTAATTGCCTCCCAGGTAAATATCGGCCTAACGCGTATATTCGATCCTAACCCGGTGCACGCGGTTAGCTGGACGATGTCTTCATCAATGAAAGCATCAAGAGTCGATTGAGGCGGCATGGATGTTTGTTTTCAGGCAGCGTCGCCTCGGTCTCCCTGCACCGCCCTCCCCACTAACAACGGCAGATTACAAAGCAGCGGTAGCCATAGCTGTTAACTCCCTCCCTTAAAACAGACCAATTCAGACCTTATTGATCACCCCGTGCCCTTATACAAAGTCCCATCACAAGGGAGAAACACAAATCACCACGAGTACACTCACCACTAGTACACTCAGTAACGACATACCTGGAAATCCTTCATCAGTGCCCTACCTTATTGCATACAAATTCAGACCTTGTTGGTCACCCCGTGCCCTTAAAAACGTCAACGTCTATCCGACAAAGTCCCATCACAAGGAAGAAACACAAAAGATAACCATTCTTTTTACTCAATTTCCCTGTACAAGAATACGGGTACAACGTATGGGTTGACCGGTACGGGTAGCAGTAGCAACACCAGCAGCCAAAATATCAGTCGCATCTTCATCCGTTTCAACGGCTGTATCATCAACGGCAGCGGCGTCATTTATTTATCCGTTTACATATTAGTGCAAGTCGCCCTACAGCTGGTTTATGCTCGTGTAACGTAATTGCAATTTACGTGTTCTTTTATGATCGGTCTAGACATAATTTTAGACATCTTGACGCTGCAAGGAATTCATTTAGAGTATTGGCGTGGCACGGTTGTTTTTTTTTTTGCATTTGTTTACTTTCTGTGCTATAGTTTGTTTAAACTTTCGTCATTTTGGTGACAGAGGTCAGCCTTGCAAATGAGACTCATTCCGGTCTCTTGTAGTATATCCCCTGGCTAAACACATCGAATTGGACACACAATAACAGCTATCACATTCTAACAGCAGAGTCAACGGCAAAAGCAGCAGTGCAGTCGGACTCAACAGCAGGAGAACGTCACATTCAATAAACAGCAGCGGTTTCAATTAAAGTCGCAGCAGTAACATCCCCAGAGTCCCCGCGTCTCTCTCTGCCTTCTTCTCTCCCGCAGGCCTCGTTCCCAGCACCGCGGCAGGTGTGGGCGGTCAGCTGCAGCAGACCTTCGCCCGGGGGCGAACCCACGTGTGTGGGGTCGAGGTCCGGACCAGGGACAATGCTGTGAACAGCTTTATCCCGGTATGGATTCGCATGATACTCGGCCGTATCAGCAAAGGGTTTCTGTCTTGCATTGCGGTGCTTAACTTCGGCCCGGACAGTCCGAAACGCTCTTCTGGGAATTCCGGAATTATATATGGAACGCCACATCCATTGTCCAGATAATTGTTATCATCCTATTTCTAGCATAATAGGAATAAGTACAGTGAGGGGAAAAAAGTATTTGATCCCCTGCTGATTTTGTACGTTTGCCCACTGACAAAGAAATGATCAGTCTTTAATTTTAATGGTAGGTTTATTTGAACAGTGAGAGACAAAATAACAACAACAAAATCCAGTAAAAGCATGTCAAAAATGTTATAAATTGATTTGCATTTTAATGAGGGAAATAATTATTTGACCCCTCTGAAAAACATGACTTAGTACTTGGTGGCAAAACCCTTGTGGGCAATCACAGAGGTCAGACGTTTATTGTAGTTGGCCATCAGGTTTGCACACATCTCAGGAGGGATTTTGTCCCACTCCTCTTTGCAGATCTTCTCCAAGTCATTAAGGTTTCGAGGCTGACGTTTGGTAACTCGAACCTTCAGCTCCCTCCACAGATTTTCTATGGGATTAAGGTCTGGAAACTGGCTAGGCCACTTCAGGACCTTAATGTGCTTCTTCTTGAGCCACTCCTTTGTTGCCTTGGCCGTGTGTGTTTGGGTTGTCATGCTAGAATACCCATCCACGACCCATTTTCAATGCCCTGGCTGAGGGAAGGAGGTTCTCGCCCAAGATTTGACGGTACATGGCCCCGTCCATCGTCCCTTTGATGCGGTGAAGTTGTCCTGTCCACTTAGCAGAAAAACACCCCCAAAGCATAATGTTTCCACCTCCATGTTTGATGGTGGGGATGGTGTTCTTGGGGTCATAAGCAGCATTCCTCCTCCAAACACGGCGAGTTGAGTTGATGCCAAAGAGCTCCATTTTGGTCTCATCTGACCACAACACTTTCACCCAGTTGTCCTCTGAATCATTCAGATGTTCATTGGCAAACTTCAGACGGGCATGTATGTGCTTTCTTGAGCAGGGGGACCTTGCGGGCGCTACAGGATTTCAGTCCTTGTTTTCTTGGTGACTATGGTCCCAGCTGCCTTGAGATCATTGACAAGATCCTCCCGTGTAGTTCTGGGCTGATTCCTCACCGTTCTCATGATCATTGCAACTCCACGAGGTGAGATCTTGCATGGAGCCCCAGGCCGAGGGAGATTGACAGTTCTTGTGTTTCTTCCATTTGCGAGTAATCGCACCAACTGTTGTCACCTTCTCACCAAGCTACTTGGCAATGGTCTTGTAGCCCATTCCAGCCTTGTGTAGGTCTACAACAGGGGTGGGCAATTTTTTAAACTCGCGGGCCACAATGAGTTCTAGAATTTGACAGAGGGGCTGGGCCAGGAACAGATGGATGGAGTGTTTGTGTGAACTAATATAAATGACATGTAACAATCATTACATGAAAGGATTTGTCCTTTAACAGGTAGCAGAGCATTTATTTGCAAGGCAATTTAACAAATTGCACGAACATGAACAATACAAAAACATGTCGTAACGTGACTGATCAAACATCATGAAAACATCTGAGGCCTGCGCCCAAACCAATTACCACAATCCCGGTCAAAGTGCGCCATCTAATGGGGAAATGGGGGCATTACAGGAGAAAGGTAAAATAAAATTTAATATTTGGACAAGTTCGGCGGACCGGATTAAAAAGCCCAACGGGCCGTATACGGCCCGGGGGCCGTACTTTGCTCATGTCTGGTCTACAATATTGTCCCTGACATCCTTGGAAAGCTCTTTGGTCTTGGCCATGGTGGAGAGTTTGGAATCTGTTTGATTGATTGCTTCTGTGGACAGGTGTCTTTTATACAGGTAACAAGCTGAGATTAGGAGCACTCCCTTTAAGAGTGTGCTCCTAATCTCAACTTGTTACCTGTATAAAAGATACCTGGGAGCCAGAAATCTTTCTGATTGAGAGGGGGTCAAATACTTATTTCCCTCATTAAAATGCAAATCAATTTATAACATTTTTGACATGCGTTTTTCTGGATTTTTTTTTGCTGTTATTCTGTCTCTCACTGTTCAAATAAACCTACCATTAAAAATATAGACTGATCATTTCTTTGTCAGTGGGGCAAACGTACAAAATCAGCAGGGGATCAAATACTTTTTTCCCTCGCTGTATAGTGTACACTAAGATACGATTACCGGCGTACCCTGTACTCTCGTGACAGTGCCTTGCGACTATAATCCCTGCTCCAAGGCATCCCGCTTAACAGGGTTCCAGTAAATGTGGATGAGAAATGCATCCCTGCTTACATAACTACCACGGCTTCATTTCAGCCGGGTCGGTGATGTAGCGAATGCTGGTACTCGGCACACCACATCCACTGTACCTCTCGCTATGGCTCTACCAGCGATGTGCAGTGAGAAATAAGAAATATACGATATAAACAATGCCAGAATCGTATCACAACATGCAATACGTATACAGTATACACAAGCCTCTTGGTCAATCCACTGCTGGCTAAGGGTCTCCACGCCTAGCGGGTCGTGGTATAATTATTTGACCATACCTCACCACGCGGGATTACATTTACACGAGGACGCACTTTCTCTTCGATTTATTTCAGTGCAAATTGGCGAAGGTTGGGGTTGTAGACGTGGGGAGCGTAGACGGAGTACAGCGCATCAATGGGTTTAGTTTGCCGTTGGTTCAGTCGAAGGTGAATGAAACGCAGAACAGAACCCAGGATCTCAGCGATGACGACCTGGCGCTGCCTTGAAGCCCCCCGGTCGCTTTCCAAAACACGTTTAACCTCCCGTTGCATACCAGTATGATTGGCGCCTATTCATTTGTTGTGTTAATGCACTCGAACTGTTCGTCTGCACGTGTGTGTATAGTCAAATCCCATAACAAAATAGGCTCCCTTAGTATGTTTCCAGCTTGGTTTTAAAATCAACCATTTAGTGTCGAAACTTGCTGGTAGGAAGGGAGCTTGTTTGGCAGACTTTGCCAGGATGGGGGGGGGGGGGCACTTGGAAGCCAGTTCACTCGGGGGGGGGTGCGAGGAGGAGACCCTCGGCGCTAGTGCCAGAGGATACATACTGCCGCACGCTGCGTCGGCGTACGCTTCCACACTGGATCTGCTGCTTTTGCCGCCGCCTCTGCTGTTGTTGCAGACACCATCCGCCCATCTTCCCAGCCCAGGCGACCTGACCTCGGTTTGGCTGGAGGCTCCGGGCATCGCCAGAAATTGAGGGGCCCCACCACTGTTCGAATTGGCCGCGCGGCTATGTTTGTGTGTACGCGTGTTACGTGTGTGGTACTGGACACGCCACCCTCGAGTGACGTGCCAGTCCTAATGGGTGCTCGCTAACGACACTTGCACTGACCAGGTTGTTAAAGGCAATAGGAACGTGCACACTAATACATGGATTCGCACATTGGTGAGGTGGGTGCTTGGATAAGACAACATTTAACGAATATCACAAGGAAGTTGGTAATTATATAAGGTTTCTAAAAGGTTCATCACGACAATATGCCATGAGTTAAGCTTACTACTCATTGTCTCTGCCCCCAGGTCTGCGAACACATTGTTCAATTGCTAATGATGTTCACTTTACTCGTAGGGCCAGATGTACTTCTCTATGGGATGGCAAATATACGTAGCCAACAGTGGCAACATTTTCACCAATTATATTATCAGACAAAAAGGGGACATTCGCCTTCACACGCTCATTCTCTGCACCAAGGGCCACTGTGTAGGCAGTTTGGTGTTGTACGTCAGAGTGCATCCCTGCCGATCAACTAAACTTACCCGCTGCGAGGTGCATGACCCCGCGCGTCAAGGGCTAGATGCTGTGGACGTCTCATTGGACTGCGGAGGCAGAGACGAGAGCTGGACTTCCCACCAAACTGGACATGCAACGTACACCCTTTGCTTGCCCGTAATAGTTTAACGTCCGGCCGTCTGTCCGATCAGTAGTAGTTGCACAAGGATCGATATTGTGCCAGGCGATGTTCACCCTTGCATCGTCATGCTATATTAACACCAATAAAATGTGCTGAACGCAAAGTCCATTATAGTCTTAATTGGTAGCAGATTTTTATTTTTTTAAATACACTTCAGTTTATTGCTGCATCGCGCTATTATCAACTGCTAATTATTTTCCCAGGAAAACCTCACCCGAGCCTCGAGACTTCTAAGTGTATTATTACATTGCGGGGCCGCGCCTTAGAATAAGCAAGCATCAATTTGCACGGCCGTCCGCGTGTTTGCACAGTCAAATCCCGTAACAAAAGAGAGGCTTCGTTAATAGCCTGGCTGCTTTATCGGCTCGTGTTTTTAGCTGCCGCTGTGACTGCTGCTGCTCCCGCTCCGTGCCTGACACAGTATTATGCCACCCATGCGTTTAGTAGAACGCATCTGAAAGGATATTCAGAGGAGATGGCGCAATTTATTTTTTCAAATAAGCTCATGTGCACGTGCTAGGTGGATTACTACATAGCAAAATTACGAGAGATGGGCGGCTTCATGGAGAAGCCCTCAATTCAGCGGCGGAGGGACCATGGCCGATGACGAACATGAGCCGGCTGGCCGCAGCGGCAAACCGGTGTGCTGAGCATCACATCAAGGGGGTGTTGAGCGGCGATGGGCTGATGACGTTGATGGAGACTCCGGCGTCGAGTTCATTCGGGGTTTGAGCACCTTCTGCCACCATCGTTCCAAATAAAACAACAGCAGCGCAGGATGAGGAGCGAGAGGAGGTGGCCATGTGTGTTGCGATACCCGGGCACACGTGAGTTAATGAAATTGGCACTTAGGAGGTAAAAAGTATCTGTTACTGATTCATTAATATGAGAAACAATAGAGTAGTGTGAATTAAAGAACGGATTTGTAAATGTCGCCGTTATATATATTAATGACTATCATTACTATTACACGGATAATTGTACGGTAATGCAATTATAAGAACAATGCGGGCACATTAGACGCGGTGATGAAATTTCCCTCTCTATTGCATGAGCTTTGTGTAAAAACGTTTACAAATGATAACGCCAAGGATACTTGAGTATAAATTTTATCCCCATGAGGTAATTACAATAATGTTGAAATAACCACATGTTATTAAATGTGTCCTTTTACACTTAAGATTTAAACATATGCCTGGCCGGGATGAAGCTTTCTCGTTCACGGTCCTGAAGTCTTTCTGAGCAAAAGGCGCCACTGACTGCACATCTCTCTTCCGTACTGACGTCGTAACGTCGCGAATATTTCCAAGAGCGGCGCCAGCTACAAGCGTGTGCAGCTCCCTTTCCAAAAATGAGCCAAGTGGCCCGCTTCTTTCTAGCTTCGCCCGGCACCGTGGGAAGGTCCGGGCCAAAGCTGCTTGCCCATTGCCAAGAACCGGATAAGTGATCGTGAGAAAGTGACACGATGCGTTCTCTGTCCTGAGACCAACTATTCGGTGGTGATACTGCACAGGCCAGCACCAATAACAAAAAACCCAACGCACCCGTGGACAACGCTTTCCCCCGAAACGAAAAAAACCATCCTCCTTTGCCCCCTTCTTCATGGCCCTTCTCCATTGCCCATAGTTGATGTGCCATGCCCGACATTGGATGATGTGCAATGAAGAAAGGCAATTTCCCAAGGCCGTCATCTGATTGTGTTTTTTTTCCTCGTGGGTGGTCGTTGTGGTGGGGAGGTTGGGGAAGTGGGGGGGGGGGGGGGATATGATGACGCACATCAGTCAGACCCGCTGGGCTCGCGGCTGGCCCACAAGTCGGCCACCCTGAGACGAGAGCTGCACTTCCCACCTAACTGGACATGCAACGTGCACCCCTTGCTTTCCCGCAATATTTTAACGTTCTGTCCGGCCAGGAGCAGTTTCAAACCGATCGATGTTGTGCCAGGAGATGGCCCTCCATAGCACAAACTATGGGCAATGATCGGCAGGGATGGATTGTGACGCACAATGCCAAACTGCCCACACCGTGGCCCTTGGTGAAGAGAATGAGCGCGTGAAGGCGAATGTCCATTCTTGTCCGACATGATGCACACCGGTCGTACCGCTGGGCTCGCGGCTGGCCCAAAAGTCGGCCACCCTGAGGCGGATGTCGCGGCTCTCCTCGCGGAGCTCCCGCTGCCACTGCCTCAGCTCCTGCACCTCGGGCTCGCGACGAACCTCGTCATTCACCGCAGCAGTGGAGAATCGGACATTATTATCAAAAACGAGGGGTGGCAAAACTCCCTGAAAATGCAAAGCAGCGGAGCAAAATGTTATCTTTATGACCGAGAGCAATAGGACGGATGCGCATGTGGGGTTGTCGCAACGGGTGGTCACGCGGCTAGTTCGCTCGCACTCGTTGACTGTGGAGCTCTCAATTTAGAATTCTGTGGCAGTGCCCTGGGAGTACCTGTGGCTAGATTCACGATCAGGGTGAGTACCCCGGGCCGTTTCCGGCATGAACCTCGAGCTGTAATTCCCAGCATGCACCTCTCCATGCTCGTGCACCTTTTGGCCAATCTTCTGTTTCCTCTGTCAAGTGTCCGCATGTTTCCATTCCATGTGTCAACGTGGGTAATATGCACAAATCTAGGAAGTTAGCAAGTAGAAGAATTTAAACTAACTCTAAGCAATATATTTAAATTCCTCGAAGGATTTATTTATTTGTCATTTAAACGGTTAAACAACTTGCACGGTACTATAGAGGCTATCGAACGTGGTCGGCAAGATAAAAAAGCAAACCGAGAAAGAATTTACCCGAAACGACTATAAAAATGCATCCCTTTATAAAGCCACGGGGTAATGTATTCGTGGGAAAGGAATGGGAAGCTCACCAGATAGCCCCTGTAAAAGGCTTGTATGATGATCGCAGCTTGCTCCTCTGTAAGCAGCAGGGATAGTGGCAGTGGCGGCCTCGGGCTAGCGAGCCAACACAAAACGGGGGGGGGGGGGGGGTGGAGGGAAACATTTTTTCCCCGATGTCATCGTTTATATCGCCGCGTGGGCCAGAGTGATGTGCGTGGGAGGAGGTGGGAAGCACCCCCCCCCCGTACTTACTGATCCCTCAGCCACTCCTTGACGAAAGGAATTTCCAGGACTTTTGTTGGCTGCTCTTGACACCTCGCAGGGTTTTTGCTGCATGGAGAAAAGCACTTGTTTCAACCAATATTCGCTCGATTATACAGACGTAATGATTTGCATTGTCTGCGACTTCACGAATTGTTGTGATTGTGTGTGGAAGATATAAAGCATACAATACTATTGAACTTGTGATGTAAGTGAATGTTAGTCGTAAAACTAACTTGATTTAAAAACATTGCACGTTTAGAGTTGCAACGTGAAAGTACAAAAACATCTCACTTGTATAACCACTCTGCAAGGAAGTCACGAGGGAAGAACTTTGTCTTTTTTCTCTGTAAAACAAAGAATAGTAAATTTATATTAATAAATAACAATATACACTTCTTGATGCCTATCATGGTGGGACATGCATCAAATCCGGCGCTTTTGAAGGAAGGGTTGGTGGATCACATTGACTTGTAAAAATCTCAAGCTTGCGATCGATTGGGTTTGTGAGCCCATCTGAGTATCATCCCCTCGCCATCACCAAAAATCTGCGCTGATCGATGTGGTGAAATATGGTCAAATTATCATCGTGACCCACAAGGCGTAGGGAGGCCTTCGTCCAGAAGTGGATTGAAAAAAAGGGCAGCATGTATATGTGCACAGTCCTGATAACAGTGAGCGAAAGGGGGTACAACTATAACACGTGATAGTGGGGGGGGGGGGCCCAGCCAACGTTATGTACCGGGCTCCACATTTCTCCCCACAGGCCTGTATGTACATGTATGCATTTCAAGTATGCCATTCAACAAAACTCTCGCAGTAGTTAGGTTTTGATTAAAAAAATCCAAAGTTCATGACGACACCGAGGATGACCCTTGCAGTACCGATGATCCCAGCTGTACCTCAAAGCATCTGTGTAGCCGGGCCTGAGACAGCAACTCTGCGAGACCGGGTAGTAGCACCGGGAAAATAAAGTGTTCCAGGTACTCCCGAGGGCTGCCTGCCCAGACACATACCAGCAGTAAACAAGCCCGGGTCAAGTGAATGGGGGACAGGTGAAACAGAATCTTAAAGCTTTCGTGACTGCAGGAATCCATACTCTTTGGTTCTTTTGGTAAAGTCACGTGGGTATAAAATAGTGATTTATTTTTATACCTACGTGACTTTACCGAAAGAACCAAAGAGTATAGGCGGAATAGAGGTTATTTGTGCATATGGTTTTTAGTTTTTTTAAGACTGTCCACTTTTGATTAATTATCACCCACATAATATTATATCATAATCACTTTCCCATGCCTGTCATGACGGTGCACGCCTGCAAGCCAGTGCTTTGGACACGGGTGGGTGGATCGAGTACATTTTGTGAAACTTCCAAACCTGTCAAGGATGCAAAATGGCCTGAAGATGGCAGTAGAGCAAATAAAACGCCACAGTATTTGGTTGATATCGCGTTGGCAGTGGTGCACAAATAAAAACTCAACACATTTGCCAATCGCAGCGCCTTTAAACGGACAAATATATAACAGGTGTGAATTCTTGCAACAGCCCTTCACAGCTAAACTGCAAGTGCTATGATGGAGGGTCACTGCCAAAACACACACTCGTGCACTGTGAAGGCTCAGTGCCCGAAACGTTGCCTATTATATACTTTTCCTTTCAAGTACAGCAAATGTGATAAGGGAGTGAATCAGTTATTTATTATTCCCAATTACCCACAAAATATAGTGTCCATTAGAGGACACTTCGCATGCCCCTATGTTTTTATTAGTTACAAAACAAACTGCTAAGAATGTACCACACAGATTACCAATACACAGATCTGCATAGGTATTGAGCCCGAATTCCCAATTAAATGATCTTTAAGTGTTTTAATAAATGCATGTGGCCATCCATTTATATGTGTTTGTGTTTCTCTCTTTACAATTAGTTTGAACAGATAATTTCCCATACAAAATAGATGCTCCTTTACTAAACTGCCTTGTCAGCTTGTTCCTGCATTAAACCACATGCAAATATTCCTGTGTACCAGGTGTGACTTTTCATCCTCTGAGAGTAAGCACACCTATTGATTTATTGAAATGTTATTACACTTATAATTTGATCATGGTGTATTAAAATGAGTAATGCCAAATACAGCAAAAACAATTCCCCTTTACAAAATTAGTTTTTTTTTGGAGCATGATTTGATCTCAAGAATGGCCAACAACATATCATGGATTGGTCTGTTGTGATTGCTCCCTCCAGATACATTGTTGGATGATGGAATTACAATATATTTCAAATGATCATCATTCTCTTATTGATTTACTGAACAATATTTATCCATCCGATCAAAAAAAAGACACTCACTGCTTCTGTACGGCATCTTAAAAATGCAGTTGCATGGAGACCCAGTACAAATCCACGTAATTAAATTGTCCCTTCTGGACATTTGTGAAAAAAGAGCTTTACATCTCATCGGATTCCTCCAGTATATATAAATAATTCTGATTGATATCCAAGCCTGGAAAACCTGAGGCAGAGTTGGTCGATTCCTCACATTGTAACCGGTAATCGCATGAAGTTCAAGGGGCAGATTGACATGCAGGGTTCGCAGCACAGTCCACAAGCGCACATGTTTTAGGGTCTATTGGTGTTGGGGGGCTCCCTGGGAGAGAGGCGGGTGCCTCGGTAGAGCGGTCCGTGTACGGGGTCAAGGGTGAAGAGTCCAAGTCCTGGAGGAACAATGCAGAGGCAAATCTTTAGCAAAATCTTGAGCAAATCAGTGTCATTACCCTTAACTTTCAGTGCTGTTACACTGGGAGAGAAGGGTAGATTTTAATGATCGCTTAAACCTCTCACCTAATCTCCACACCAGCCCTTGTTACACGAAAGTACACCATTTCAGAGCAACAAATTTGACAAAACTGTTAATGTAAAACGAGTTTAACACATAGGCTTTCGCGACAAATATTATTCATAATAAAGGTTTTTGGGTTAGATCGCGTTATTTATAAATGTGTCATAACCCTCCACCACCCGACACGGCCAATCAGCAAAAAAGTGTCACGTTGACAAAAGACAAATAATTCACTACTTTAGCCCACCGGTGTGTTGAAGAGTGAATCTACAACATTTACAGTTTGAGTAATTACATCCAGCATCATCGGGCAATTGGCCGATGATGCTGGATGTAATTAGCAGCGAAACGTCGTACTCAAACTGTAAATGTTGTGGATTCACTCTTCAACACACCAGTGGGCTAAAGTAGTGAATTATTTGTCTTTTGTCAACGTGACACTTTTTTGCTGATTGGCCGTGTCGGGTGGTGGAGGGTTACGACACATTTATAAATAACGTGATCTAACCCAAAAACCTTTATTATGAATTATGCATGTAAAACGACATTACAATTTTGATTTAAAGCTTTCGTGACTGCAGGGATTCATATTCTTGGTTCTTTCGGTAAAGTCATGTAGAAGGGAAACAAAATATATATTTTTATTATTTAATTGTTTCCTTTATACGTGACTTTACCGAAAGAACCAAGAATATGACATTACAATTATTCACTTCTCCAAATAGTTAAAAATGAGTACATTTTACCCATTTTTGAGAATATTAATTAGTTTAACTCAAACAGTTTGACCAAAATGTTTTATAAAAATTCCAGCTAATTAAGGTGGATGATGACTATTTTAAATAATGTAAACTGTTCACCAAAGACAATTGATATATTTTTTTCTATAAAGCAAACATACACAACTACTCACCCAACCGATTTAAGTTTAAACCCTCTCACTGCATAAAAAATATTTAAAGCTAATCGTACTGGTTTATTTCATTTTATTTTTTTAAATTAAAATTTTGGCTTGAAAATGTGGCCATGATTCTATTGTTGCATCTGGCAATATGTTCAGGAGCTAAATGCCCAATATCGAGGTCTGCTAGCCACGATGGAGCGTAGACGACAGTGGTTTGCTATATGGCCCACAGTTTGGGTTGCATGGCCACAGTCGCACTCCTGTGGCTTACGCCTATAATTTTTTATTCATTAAGGGGGATGTGTGCATTCGCCTGTCATGGTCTGATGCAGTTGATGTTTACTGCGGTGTCTTCAAAGCCAGGAGGTTGCGGAGTTTGGGTCTCAAATGAGGCGTTTATTTTGGGCTTCCGTGGTGTTCCATAGGCAAAACGGACGTCATCAATTTGGTGGCCATAATGAAGACGGTAATTATGGCTTAATAGTTACGGCTGACGGGGGCTGCGAAGTGGAAGGGAAAGTTAATGGAACCACCTGCATGGAGTCACCGGCCAGCCGAGGGCTCCCATTTGTGCTCAAGGCTTCCTTGCTTTCCACAAACTCTGCAGAAAATGTTCACAGTCAGTATGCGTATTGTAAGCATTTACACAATCGCATTGGATAACGAAGGCTAGTAAGGACGCAATGGGTTGGAGATGGAGCGATGATGTCAGTACATGTGCTCGGTGGGATTTTACAAAACAGGATTGTGAGAGGTGGCGGCGGCTTGGAGAGGTTATCCTCCAGCAGTGGATTGGCCATGGCTGATGATAATGATGAACAGAGGCTACAAGACATTACATTTATAGTTAGCAGGAATGGAAGTTTGACTAAATTGGTCACTTTGAGCAATGTTAGTAAAAACAATTAATTCAGGATTTCCCAAATTCCATTTCTCGCGATGCACCACCGCAATTATCTTAGAATTTACCAATGCATCTTTGTTCAAATACAAAAAAAATCAAGTTGTTATACGCTGCACACACCTGGTGACAGCGAAACACATTACATGGTCAACACAACAGCTGCTATTTAAATTTTGATTTAAAGCTTTCGTGACTGCAGGGATTCATATTCTTGGTTCTTTCGGTAAAGTCACGTGACTTTACCGAAATAACCAAGAATATAGCTGCTATTTATTTCACATTGCGGCGTTGACATCACCACATCGCTTGTGCCAGGCTAGGTGTCTGATCAACACAAAAAAAACAAATATCCCCACCCCAAACTTTAGCAAGCTGTTGGACCAAGTGCTGTTCGCGAACACCTCTTAAAATCGGAAGAAACTGACATGTACACACACATACAAAACAAGGCTTTTGCTTTAAAACTTTGCATCAGAGATCTCTACGTCACGTGGGACATGTGTAACAACCATCAGGCGCGTACGGGGCGTATCGATGTACAATGTACACAGAGCAATTGCTATATTAACGGCGAAGTTTGGTAACACGTGCTGCGCTGGCTCGCAAATAATTCAGTGGTGTCGGAAACTCTGGAGTGGAACCTGCTAGCTGTGCTCGCTGCATACACCTGTCAATCCACTGCTGGATGAAGACCACGTTGGTCGTGCCAGTTCTTTGACCATACTTCACCACGCTCGTCAGTGCGGGTTGCTTTAGCCGGGGGTACCCAGGACCAATTCAGGCATCGTTCGCCACTGACGTTAGCATACTCTGTCAACCCCTTATTGTGCCTCCCAAATTACAGACAAATTCAGACCTTATTGGTCACCCCCGTGCCCTTATAAATCTCAACGTTCGTCCTACAAAGTTCCATCACAAGGCAGAAACGGAAACACATGAGATTTGTTGTTGTTGTTGCTGCCCGTGTTAAAACGGCTGTACGCCGTATGGACCTAACGATTCAATTTCCCTGTACGATAATACTGGTAAACCGTATGCGTTGCCGGGTACGCGTTAGTCGTGGCCAAGTATCAAACTCGGACTCTGGTATCCGGGGCTCGTAACGCACGGGGTGCGCTAACCACTGCGCCACCGCTCCAGAGTTCAACAACACACAGGGTGCTTCAAAAAAATGTCAACACTTACATGGGACTATCTTTTTAATGGCAAAAGAACGGACAACGCACTGTAACGTGATAAAAAAAATGCATGTTAATAGCATCAAAAAGTCATAAGAGTCTGCACTTGTTCGCCATCGTTGTCAACACGTGCCTGGAATCTTCTCCAGGTGGTCTCCAGAGCACATTTCTTGTGGAATTGTTGCAAATTATCAAAAGCGTTAACATGTATTTTTGAAGCACCCCTTGTAAACGCGTGCAACAGGTTAGGTAAGGCATGTCGTGCAGCAACACCGCCAGCTGTCTTGATTTGCCGGCTCGTGGGCGAATAGCAATTATCACTAAGCGGACGCGTACAATTATATCGAAGGCGTGAAATGAACAAAGGCGAGACAACAACAACAACACCACCACCAACTAAAAAAAACCCCAAACAGGGCAGTCAGTGCCTGCCACGATGAGCTCCCACAGAGTCGCCATGCTTGTTCCCCTCAAGGCCAAGCCACGTGACGCGCCCCGGGGGCCAATCCCGCGGAGCCGCGCCGGACGCGTTGCCACGGGTGACCGTTGACGGAAACAAGAAGGCCGTTGCTAAGGGGAGGGTGTGGGGGGAGGCCGCTAGGGGTGACGTCATCAGCCCCCCCCCACACTCACCATCCCCCTCGCCTCTCCCCCACACCAGTTCGTCTCGGGGCCTAGTCACGTGATGCGTTTGAATTCCTAGAGCGAATAGGCGGCTCCTCTCTGCCGATTGGGTTTGGTTTGGGCCACGTGGTGCAAGCGCGCCCAATCGGAGACGCTGGCCGTGAGGCGACGCGCCCCTTTATCGCTACGGAATCTGAAGGTGCGGCCGTGCTCGGATAGACGGGTGTGTGATGTTCTGGCCACGTGTGGATGTTTCGTGATTGAAAGTTGTAAAAAAAAACAACTTCAACAGACGTAAGTGTGCATTTGTACCGATATTCTAAGTGAGTTACTTTATTAATTGTAACCGCTTTATTGATTTGTAGATTTTAAACATTGTATACGTGTGTTTAATGCCATACGTTTTCAGTAGGCCTTTGAACACGTGTACAGTGCAGTACTTGTGTAAGTGTGGGATTGTATTTGCGTTCACTCTACTGGCGTAATCTATTTAAGGCTACATGTATTTGTCAATCAACTGTTGGGATGAATACCTTCCAATGCCGCATTGGTGATGGGGGGGTTTGAGCATCACGCTTGTCAGCGCAGAAGGTCAGGATACTGGTTTGGATAATTCACCACTGATGTTAGCCGTGCCCTTAGAATCCAACTCCATTACCTGGGCTGTTAGTATTATTTTTGATTTCTCATTACCTGGGCTGTTAGTATTATTTTTGATTTCTCATTACTATATTCAAATTATTACAACAGTACTACCGCAATCGATTATGTTGCTGTATTGATACACTGAAAGAGGGAAGTACGTTGTCATTGATTAAGTTGTCTGGGGCAATAGTATTCGGTAACTTTATCTGCCAATGTAAAACTGCAAATCAGAAAACATAAAACAAAGACACCAGGCCGCATGGTAAAAAGTACAGCCTCCAACTCTTATCTCCTCCCATCTCTCAGGCCGTTCTATTTGTGGTGTGCATTAAGGGTCATTGCCCGAAGCGTCGCCTGGTATGTTGTCATTTAAGGCTGTTTTATAGACGGATGATGAGTTATTTTTTTTATTTAAAGCTTTCGTGACTGCAGGGATTCATATTCTTGGTTCTTTCGGTAAAGTCACGTAGAAGGGAAACATTGGAGAAACCAAACGACATGTCTCGGACCGCATTCGTGAACACAAAGCAGACCTTAAACACGGTAGGACCAACACCTCGGCCGTGGCAGATCACTGTTATAATTCAGTAGGCTCACATGACGTTGACTTCTCCAAGACAGAGGTTATTTGCAAGCCATCTGGCTGCCATGAGAGATTCGTTCATGAGGCTATATCCCCCCCCACCCTCCGTGTAGGCCGTGTATTAATCCATGACTCGGTGACTTTACCGAAAGAACCAAAGAGTAATTCCTACAGTAACGAAAGCTCCAAATCAAGTAAGAACCCAAGTCCCGGGCGAAGCCGGGTAGCAAAGCTAGTGTGCAATATATAGATAGTTTGGTCACGTTTGTTGAAATGGTTTGTCCAACTTACTGGTTGAATGTTGTACTTTAAGTTACACCTTTAAAATATGAAGCTTCCCCCATTTGAACATGACATTCGGAAGTTATCATCTCTTGGTAGTTCTGAGCATCCACACGTATGATAAAGTACAACCAATGGATTTTATTTTCGAGAGCAGATTGTCGCGTGCCACTACTGTGGCTCAAATCATGGACCATGTGCCACATAAATTCAAAGAACAGCCGTGAGCGTTTTTCACAAGCCATTATGAGTTCCAGTTGTGAACACCCAACGATGTTGCTGAGCCATACTCTTTGGTTCTATTTGGTAAAGTCACGTAGGTAAAAAATAAAACAACAAAAATCACGACGTTTCGACCACAACACAAGTGGCCTTGTGAGCCTCTACGCCAATATGAGTTGGAGGAAGAGTTACTGGGCGGTGGTGGAGTCATTGTCCGAACACTGTTAATGCATTGTATTTGCAATATGGTGTGTGTTGCAGTTAGGGCATGCAGAAACATGGCTGGTAAAGTAAAAGATTCCTCCAAAAAAGAAGTATGGGATCGAGTAAAGAAAATCAAGAAAATGAAAGAGAAGTGTCGAGATAGTGATGACATCTCTGCTGAAGCTTTGCAGTGTAAAAGCGCAAGAAAAAAGAGTCGAACTTCCAAAGCTCTACAACAAAAAGATGCTTGCGAAGGTGAGGGAAACATTACGGAAGAGTTGGAATATCAAGCCGAGTGTTGTGAAGATGGCGTGCCTGAATTGAGAATGTCAAAAAAGAAGTGTAAGAAGAGGCGGCAGCACGAGGAGGAGGTGTCCGATGAGACGTTGACAAGAAAACGAAAGCACGATGATAACAAGGCCGATGAAGAGACGCTTGATCCGGTGATGAAGAAAGGGAAAAAGAAAAAAAAGAACAAAAGCATCGAACTGGCCGACTGTGCAGATGTCGTGGAACAGGGGGCATTCAAAAATAAGAAAAAAACTAAGGAAATTGAGGACCAGAGTGGAGGTGACGATGCATCATTAGAGGATCCAAAGCGTCAAGAAACTAAAAAGAAAAAGAAGCGGAAAAAATTGGGTGACAGTGAAACAACCAATGACTCACATGGTCTCTCAGACACACATGAGGATACGGGGAAAGATGAAAACACAAATGGTGTTAAAAAGGCAGTGGTGTGCAAGCGAAAGAAAAGGTCAAAGTCTGAAAGTGAGGGTCATAACCAGAAGGAATTAGATATTATGGATCAAGGAGATGATGTGCAGTCTGAAGCTAATCATGCTGATAATGCCCACCATTGCTTGGATGAAAATAGTGACACTGTCAAACGGAAGAAAAAAAAGGAAAAGGGTCAACTTCAGCCCAATTCCGACGATTGCGCAGACAATCTCGAGCAACGTAAGAAAAAGAACAAAAGAAAAACAATTGAACATGACGATGCGGCGCGTAAGGCTGACGTCAAGGCACAGAAATCAAAAAAGCGCAAAACGAAGGACACCAACACGGACGTGGATGTCGCGGGAAAAGACGACAAATTGCTTGTGGCCCATGAGCACCAGCCAAAGACAAGGGGCAAGAAAAAACAATCGCCTGTTGGTGCTTTGGACGGTGAAGCTCCGTGTGAACCCAACGAGCGCAAAATCCCAAGGAAAGCCGGCAGCATCTCGCCAGCTGCATCAGGGAGCAGCAACGAATGTCGAGCAGGGACCAGATCCAAAGGGACGAAGCGCGCAAAGGCTGGCGGCAGGAAGAAGCCCAATGTCCCTGATAATTTGGCAGAGAATAAGCAGACGGACGGCAGTCAGAGAGATCAAGGAGAAACTGGGAGGAGTGTAAGTGCTGTATTGTGTTAAAAAGCCCCTGATTTTTAATGGCAGTTGGCAAACTAAATAATCAAACTTACAAGCATCCTTAATTATTCATTCCCACTTTGGAATAATTGAGCATCGCTCAGGGACACAGGATTTTATACGTTACTTCTTGACGGTAAAATGTTGGGGTGATTGTCAGTATTCATTTAAATATATTTTGAGTTAATGTTATTTGAAGCAAGGTTTTTGGGGCAGTTGTGGTCTGGCTAATGTAAGTTACAGGTTAAAGGTGCAGCCCTGCCATTGCTTGCCCACACCACTACTGGTGGAAGGGGCCTCCACTTTAGAGAGCTCTAGAACGGCCCTCTAGTCGGAATTTCGCAGCCTCTTCCACACTGGCCAGACGTCTTGAAAGAGGCTGCAGTACCCACACTTTACCCCACCACACGCATAATCTCTTGACCAATGTGCCACTGATTTATTTTTAAAACTCTGTTATTTGCGTATGCATCATACCACTACTATGATTCTCTGCATTCCTATTATGATTTATAATTATTATGATTTAATAATTATGTTGCAAATTGTTTAACACCATCCTTTCCAGATGCTGAAGAATCTCAAGGGATGGGTCGTAGACAGTGACGTAAAGCTCGTCGCAATAAAACCCGGGAATGTTGAAGAGGAGAAATTTGATTTGGTGAGGATTCTGCTCGGTGAAATCTGCCTGAATGCCTCACAATTTCTCTGCATTGCTATTGTAAAAAATACCTTCCCCCCCCCCCAAATCTATCCCTTACACGGTCGTGACATGTTAACTACCTCACCTGGTATACAGGTCGTGCGTTCGATCCCGACCCTGACGCCTGTATATTTGGAGTGCATGTTCTCCCCGTGCTCGAGTGGATTTTTCTCCGAGTTCTCCGGTTTTCCCCTCCACATTTATAAACATGCGTTAACAATATTTGGCTACAATACTACATTTGCACGTGATAAGGCACTTCGTTGAGCTGTTATCTGGAGCCAGGTCGCTTCTGAAAAAGAGCTATATAGCTCAGTGGGCCTTGATAAAATAAAAATAATTTATAGTTTTTTTAATATATATATATTTTTAAGTTTACATTGGTGGCATTTCAAGAGATGTGTATGCATCATACTACATGTAAAAAAAACTCGGTGCAGTGTTATCACTGCCTTAAAATAAAAATTATATGATCGTTATCAATCTGGTCTCTCTATGTGCTTTGAACAAGGGTCATTGTCCAACACGTCGCCTATTATATACTTTTCCTTCTATTGATGGATGTGTTAGGTGTCGTTATTTATGTTGTTTCACCACTGCCAATGCAGCATCACTAAATTATTTGTTTAATCGTACGTGTAGGCCATGTGCCGCTGGGAGTAGGGGTGTGTTCAGTGGTGCGGAGAGGTCGAGGGGGTGCGTCGGGGCATAACATAAGCCCTCGAGGTGATTGAACGCTGCTCAAACTCAATGGGCCTCGGAGTGGAACAATGCGGATGTCTAGAATAAATACCTTAGTCGAGACCCAAACATTTCAACTCTTAGTTTTGACATACCTCCTATAAGACAGTGGTGGAACCCCCAACCGCATCGGAACATCAACAGGCTGATGTGCACATCTCCTTGATGAATGGAAAATTAAAGACAAACCACAGTGCCACTGTCACCATGCAACCCAAACTATGGACCATACATAAACCACTGTAGTATGCACTGCTTTAACGGAGAAATAGAAGAACGATACAAACTCTCCTGAAGTCCTCTCGTCTTGGCTATCGGACCTCAACATTGGCATTTAGCTGCTGAACACATTGCCAGCATATGCGAGGCTATTATAGAGGGCTTCCATCCAGCAATTACATAAAAGACATGATGAATAATGGTGCCTATTAAAGAAACTAATCCTTTTCTGATGTGATTTGTCTTCACGAATGCTCTCGAGCGTAGGCCAGAAGAGTGGCCTTGCAGACGCAGGTCGACATCATGACGGGAAAAGTGTCTCTGGGCACGAACAAGAGCCGCGATGACAGTGGTGGTGACAGTGGCGGCGGTGACGGCGACGGCGGAGGAGTCTCCAGCAAGGTGAGGCACCGTGGCAGACGAGCGGGGTCCATAGCCAGGGGTTTCCCTTGGCACGTGATTTGCCCATGGCATGAGTGTATCACCGTGGGAGCCACTGATTTGCAATGGATTCTGTTCTCAAAGGTTGACGGCGTCTTCAATAACAAACGGTTCTAATCACACACACCGTGGTTGTATAGTTTCAGGGATACTGATTTTTTTAAAAAAATACTTTTGAGTTATAAGCAGAATGATAGTATCTTTCAAAAGTTATGAAGTGGTATTTTTTTGTTGTTGCTCAAATGACCGTTGAAGTGAGACTCATCTCCCATTTCGAGCCTGAGCCTATGGTGGAAATTCCATTTTTTTTTAGTAGGGGCGAGTTTTTCTAACCTTGACTTCTCCGCAAGGGATGATAGGCTGATTCGACCCCAACCAGGATTTAAACGCGCGACCTTCCAACTGCGAGCTGTTCGCTCTCCCACCGAGCCAACTGGCCACTTGTATGATGATCATAATAGCATGGCCTAGTTGTCATGTGCAGCAGAATCCAGCGGCTGCCCTAATTAATATTGCAGGTGTATTAACCTTAAAAATACCTGTTTGCATTACAGTGGGTGTTAACCATGCTATGATGTCATACCTACTATAATCACCCAGGAATGTCTGTCCTTAATGCTTGTGACGTCACTCCACATCGACCAGCCCCCCTCATTAATAATCATGAGCAGGTGACGTCCTCCACATGGATCCCCCCCCTCATTAATGATCATGAGCAGGTGATGTCACTCCACATGGAGCACCCTCATTAATAATCATGAGCAAGTGACGTCACTCCACATCAAACAGCCCCCCTCATTAATAATCATTATAAGGTGACGTCCTCCAAATTGACACCCCCCCCCATTCATAATAATTAGCGGATGACATCACTCCACATGGGGGGGCAAGGCGCCTCCTCCCCCCTCCTCGGCGTCAACTTACAACCCTCACTACAAAGCCAGAACCCTCACGTCACGCAATCTCCATAACGCTATTGAGACATCAAAGTAAAAAGGACGTCATGATAAACAAGGGATTATAACCTTAAAATTAAATAGGTTTGTGTCACCGTGCCCTTACAAAGTGCACACGCATTAATGCAATGAATATATCACGTCGCGGTTTGCTTTTCGCTTGCAAATTTCAGATTTACTGCAATACACCTTGGAAGGGCAAAAGGCTAGTTCGTAAGAGTAGTCCATGATGTACCATCGTCATGGTCCAAATTTTTCAACTAAAAAAATGACCCGCAAATGTACTCATTTGGATTATACAGAGCAATCGTCGCCCCCTACTGCGAAGGCTTTGGCACAACCCTGCTGAAAAAGTCAAGTGTTTCCTGGGTAAACAAGCGTAACAATGACTTAAGTTACCTGTTCTCTTTCTGTGCAACAACACAGGCCAGAGCCACGCAGTTTGGCCAGTGGGACACTGCCTGTCTCGGTGACGCCACGAAGCAGAACAAGTTCCTGCGGCTCATGGGCGGCTTCAAGAAAAGCTCCGGACACTCCGGGTCCGAGTTGGAGTCCGGACCGGGCACGAGCGGCAGGGCAAACATGGCGCTTGGCGGCGAGAGCGAGAACCGGCTGAACTCGGCGCTAGAGTCCCAGTTCCAGCATGCCTTGCAGCGCAAGAATTATCAGCAGCGCGGCGTCGGTCTCGGCTTTCAGGCCGACGCCAGTGCTAAGAAGACGTTTTTTATCGACAAGGCGATGAGCCGCTCGCTCAAATTGGAGTGAGCTGCCGTCACTTGCGATTTTAGTTTTTATTCAAGAGAAAAAAAAGTTGGTATTAATGAATTTTTTTACTTTGAACTCTCAGCTGTGTGTACGTTGAACTTCTTTCGCACTGTGACTAGCCAACCGTGCTAATCGGAGGTGTGGGGGAAGGACAACAAACTAAACCCAAAAAGGAGTTCTGAAGAAATTAGTTTAATTTAGAAATCATTGCAGCCGTCCACTTGATGATTGTGGGTTGTCGGTACTCCCAAGAAAATCGGAGTACCCAACGAAAATCCACCACGTACACAATTGGATAACACCAGGAGCTCTGCACAGATGGGTGTAGTCTGTTTACTGGGCCATCTCCTTGCCCATCTCCTGGCCATTTTTTTTTTAAGTAACGGTTGCTGAGCACAGAGCCAAGTGGCCAGCAACAAAACACCACTACTGAAGGTGAAGCAGATAAGAATACGTTTCTTACATTGATTCTATGAACTTAGGAGAAGAGACATTATGATGAATTCCAAAGTTCAACAATGGGAGGAAAGGACCAGAAGAGCGTTATAGGAAGTGTTGTAGGGCACTGTTGAGATACTACCGTCTTGCACATGTGTGATTTTAACATGTCCTTGAAATACTGGGATAATTCATGTGTGGGGTGGCCTGGTATATGTTTGCTTAACAGAGCCCTGTTATTTACATGAATACAATTTAGCTAATCAACAGCTTGTTATGTTATTAATGTTGAAGTGAATGTTATCAAAACATTAATTTCGGAACAGTCCACCAATAGTCATAGCTTATACTAAACTGGGACTGCTTGGCACGTAACATTGCAGTGCATCATGGAGATGCGGCTGTCAAATTTATGAGCTTAATGACATTTTTAGAGGTCTCTAAAAACAACTATATCGAGAATACTTTGAGGTGGTGTCTTGCACGGGCTTAGTCTTGCCAATAGAACAGGGCTGTTCCACCCCAACCTTTCTAACTTTCTGATCCAATTAGTTGGGAGCTTTAATAAAATTCAACTAAATACTGAACTTTGATTTCACCAGGTAAGGCCCACTGAGCTATATTGCTCTTTTTCAGAAGTGACCTGGCCACAAATGATTGCTGAACGAAGTGGCTTATCATGTGGAAATATATCGCAGCCAAATACTCTGAACCAGTGGTTCTTAACCTGGAGTGCACACACCCCCTGCGGGTGCGAGACATGGCCAGATTGTTTTAGAAGGTAAATCATCGAAACACAAATTAAGCTCGGGCACTAAGTTTGTTTCATCAAACCTATATTTATTAACATACATTTTTTTACGATTGAGAACCATATGGGTGCAGTAAAGGTTAAGAACCACTGCTCTAAACACGGATTCTAAATGTGAAAGAAATAATTGGAGGACCCATAGAAAAAAATGCCACGCGACCACAGGGAGAATGTGCAAACTCCAAATATACAGGCGTCAGGGTTTGGATCGAACCGACGACCTATATACCAATCGAGGTAGTTAACATTTCGCCACTGTCCCACAATTACTGTGCTACAGGCCTGCATTTGAATTTATAAAACCAATGTTATCTCACGCATATGACATGCCCGCTTGTATGTGTATATTTTATTTCAATATTAAAACAAGAAAATTCAGAAGGGCCATCGTGTAATAAATATAGTTTTTTTTATTTTAATCTACGTACACATCAGGGATGGTAACCTAGTTAATGAACACAACAGGCACATTTTGGCTTTGGAGCTAAAGGCGGCGCTCCAGTTTTGGGTGGGCACAATGCAACAACATTTTGTTGCTTTACAAGGAATCGGATACTGGCACGATGCCTTTGCATAATGATAGCAACTCTCAAGGATGAAGGTGCTTCGAATGGAATCGACACGAATTGAGGCTGTGTGAATAAAATACAAAATATGTACATGTACCCGTTTTAGCCGTGTTATTCACTGGTGCTGCTGAAAATATTAACGTCTGTTGATTCTAGCTGTGCTGCAGAGGTTCTGCATTTTTGAGGTTGACGCGAGCGATGCTGTCCATAAAGGTTTTTAGGTTAGATCGCATAAATGTGTCATTAAACCACCACCACCTGACTGCCAATTAGTAAGCTTTGTCACCTGAACAAAACGTGCCAATTACTACTTTAACACACTAATGTGTTGGAGAGTCAACCGACAAGATTTACGACATTCACGCAATCTAACCCAAACACCTTAATGAATAATATCGGTCGCGAAAGCCTACGTGTTAAACTCACCGATGCTGTGTTTGTGTGCGTGTAGGGATTTCCGGATGAGTGATTACTGTCGTTCAGTTGAAAGGTGAACGTGGCAACGGGCCTGCACGGCCGACAAAATGTGCATTCTCTTTGAGCAGCTGGCCTAAAGTCATGTCGATATCCTATGGGCACGCAGGCTGGTGCTCGGTGTTGGTTCGAGTGTCAACGTTTTCTGTCGAAGCCCCCAGTCAACATTCACTCAGTTGGAAGTCGCTTATTCTCTCCGTTGCGCCCATCGTCTGGAACTCCCTGAAGTTTATTGTGGTATCAACTGCCTGCCCCCATTCAAGTCCAATCTCGGTGCCTTGTTTTTCTTCTATGGCCGATTTGCTTCCCTCTAATAAACATGTCCTCTGTTTCTGTACAGAATATTGAGGTGTGTTGCATTTACACCTATGTTGTCTTGTGTTGTAAACAGGCTGATGGTGTCGTGCCTTCGCTATTGCCGCAATGTCTGTATCCAGACTCAAGGGAGGTGTGCGGTGCGAGATGATTTTCAGTAAACGAAGTTGCGCATTCTGGAAATGCCCGTATTTGGTCTCCTTTCTCCACTTCTTCCCCGGACCACCCTGCGTGGAAAACAACATAACAAAAATATATGTATATACTCCTTTACACGTAATGTTTCCACAATTGTATTCCCATTTCGCTATCAGCGTCATGTCGTGCGACTGAGTACCCAGTGTCCGAAATGGACATCCAGAAGCAATGCTCAGCTGCTGTGTGCTGAGAGACCTTGCTCATGTGAGAATGCAAATTTAACAACACAGCAGCACACAGCTTCGGGTTGTGTCGTCGAATATTGAAGTGGTGCAGGTAACTCGTGCACCGCTGATCGTGTGCGGTGATGCGTATGGGCCCGTTTGCTTCTTCTTAGGGTCAAACGTGATAACGGCTGACTCATTCTTAACTGAACTTGTGCAGCAGATGTTCTGCACTTGCCCTTCAAGTGTTGGGGCATGGCTTTGTCGAGTGCATGATAATGGTGCTTTGTCAAGCAGCAGTCATGCCAAGAGGGGTCTGAATTTTTGCATTTTTATTTCTTTTTGAGAGACGAATCTTCGTGTAACAAAAATACAATGTTTTGGATGTATAGTAATTATTCGAACTGGATGTATACTATTTAAAAATACAATAAATTGCAGCTCATTGTGACTCAACGTTTCTTTTATATTGTCAAACGCAGTACAATACATAAAGGATGAATGTCAACAATCAACTATACATCGTAAACTATTAACTATAGATATTAAACTTTATTTGAAGCTATGTTGTGTGTCTCTGTGTCTGTTTTGTCTCTCTCTCAAATTTAGTTCTACCTGATGACGATTGCTTGTGTTGCAATCGAAACGTATTTTATTTAATTTATTTTCTTTCTACGTGACTTTACCGAAAGAACCAAAGAGTATAGATATGAAATTACATTATTTCAGAATCTAAGCGGGGTTGATCCTGGATAGTGCTTGGATGTGTGACCACCGAAAGCATCACAGTTTGCTATAGCCTGAGGGACTTTGTGTTGGACAGCACAGGCTATAACATAAAATTATATTGTTGTACGCTACTTATATGTTCCCACATCTATGCTTCCCATATTCACCACCCTACACTGACCAGCGTGGTGAAGTGTGCTCTAATAACCTATTTGACCTGCACGGTGTGGAAATGCCTTTATCCATCAGTGGATGTACAAAAGGATTGTACCTTGTTCATGAGCAATGAGGACAACTTTACATTAAAAACTTCCTCTGAAGGAATGGCTTTTAAACATGATCTAATTCATATTTATAGAGCTGTGACAGGAGCGACGTGACATGCAAGCGATTCGTACTTTTGTTGATTGGCAGTGGCGGGTTTCGTAGGTCTGCTCACAACAGGTTTCCTGATGTAATATGACAGCAACAGGAAACTCACATTAATGCAGACTTCGAGTTGTACCGGCATGATGCCCGACGTTTCGCTCCACACACTCGGAGCAAAAAGCGGGGTAGCTTGAACACACTTTAAGTTCCCAAAGACGTTCCCAGCACGTGGAGTGAATAATCCGACGTGCCAAACAGAAAACATACTGGAGGTATCTGATGAGCGGTACAACCTGAAAATTAATCGAGAGCTACACAGCACACACACCTAAATCGTTTTATACTGATATTGCCTCAAGTTCTCGTCATAACAAATGTGGATACGTTATTGCTATTTGAATTATTGTCCTAACTGATTTTCACACCGCCCAAGTAAAAGGCAACTCGCTGCACGATTATGCACATTGTTACTCGCCTCGTTAACATCGTCCGAAATGTACATCTGAATTCATGGAACTGCCCTGCGGTGTGACACTCACGTCTGTTGGCGGCTCCTCTCGAGTGGTGGCCTCTGCGAGGCTGGCCCCTTGCTGAGTTGACCTTTGCCCTTTTCCTACAAGAGGAGAAAGTCTTAGCCATCTGCGAAAGCTCAACAAATCCGGTCGCCCACGTGCTGTGGACCAACAGAAATGCCGGCGTGCGTCCACGCGTCTCCCATAACGCCTCAAGGCTGTCGATGCCGCATGTTTTCGCCAGAAGTCAGTTACCCAGTTTCAAGTCCACATAGAGCATTAGAAAAGTTCCGTCTGTTCAAATTGTTTGGAAAATGTATCGGGCAGATATATATATATATATTTATGTTCTTACAAACAAGGTGTACTATTCGCCAACAAGATTAATTGTATTAGTCATTGAGATTTTGTCAACGTTGTTTGGGTAGAGTGGTGGCACAATGCTTGGCGCACTGCGCTATGAACCCGGCAAACTGAGTTTGACTCGCAACTCAAGCTGATATCGGTAGCAAGTCATATCTGTTTGAAATGGTCCTGGTCCCCCACCCCCCTGACCACCAGCATAGTGAAGTATGGTCAAACAACTCCCATGACTGACATGACATGGGAAGGTCCTCACCCAGCAATCGATTGACGAGCGCTGTAAATTATTAGAATTATAATTGCAGTTAGGAACTGGTGACTGCAAATACATAAAGAATTCTGTTTTGGAAAATGCCGAGTTGCTCAACTTACATGATTACATTTTGGTTAAGTTCTTACTTTATGGAAACAGGTATAGAGTATAGACTTGCTTTCTTTTTGAAGGCAGGAACTCCATTATTGCATGAATACTTACACAGCGACCCATAGAATCACATGCACTTACATGATCCATAGAGTTGCATAGTTAGATTTACACAGACCCATAGATTCTTATGATTGTCTTTTTCCACGTACTTCTATTGTGTATTTTCTAATCACATCGACTATCCTTAGAGACCTATAGCCTCACATACACTTAAAAGAGACTCGTAGATTTTCATACAGTTCCATGATCCATACCTACTTCCATAGAGAGTCATTCACTTACAAACCCATACACTCACATACACTTACACAATCCATGTACTCTACTTGTATAGAGATCAATACACTTCCACAGACACCCATAGACTGTTCTGATTTTCCCTCCCCATGTGCTTCTGTTATTCTTGTCTGGTCAACATCCACTGTCCTCGTATTTCATTCCACCACTTCCATCTCACCCAAGGTCTCCTCTACATCTCCCCTGCATTGGAAACTCCGCAGTCCTTATCATTCAGTATGTGTCCTTTATTTAACCAGGATATTAATTAAATCCACTGCGACGCATACAACATTGCCTCTTCTGCAAGAGCGACCTCGGTTATATCACGTAATAATCACGAGCTTCATTGCAGAAAATATGAGTAAAAAAATCAACAGCGAATAAATAATTGTATTTTTAAAATAGAGAGATAATTGTATGAATGAGATGTATTGTCTGATTATTGTGGATTAGGCCAAACCATGTACATAGAATATTTGAAAACCAATTTACATTTATGAAACGTAGACTCAATGTAATGATCACTTCATGAAAATACGTATAAATGCATATTTGTGCATTCATTATAATTCATAGTGATTGTCTTGACAACATTTTTTTTTTACCAATTCCCTGAGCCTCCTCTCCTTCTGCAGCTCGCGGTCCCTGTGCAGAATGCGCGCTCTCACGGACCCTGCGGCGCCGTGGAAGATCTCGTGTATCTCCGTGAGTGCTGCTCGGAGCTGAAAGATACACCAGACACATTCAACATTGCTATTATATTTAAAATATATATATACGACTCCTGGTTCTCGTCGTGCGGATTATCCACGTTTGCCGACGAACCATCCTTGCGAAAGGTGAAAGAAAAATACAGACTTTGATATCCGTGCAAAGCTGTTGTGCTCTCTTACGCACTCGCTGCTTCAGTAATTTGTCTGCTTCTAATGCGCGAGTCGCTAACCAGTTATAAATAAATAAAACAGACTATGCATTCTATGTCTTCACCCTCATTCTATGAAAGTAAACGGTGTGCTTACATCGTCTAATTTACGTATGCTTTTCATCATCCGTGCTTTTGTTTTATCCAGACATCCCCCACCCCATTCTGAATAATAGAGAGTTGTCTTTATCATTAATGTTGCATATTTCCCAAATAACATAACAACTTTGCAAATGGTATTGTCATCAGATGAATACATTTCCATGTGGAACTCTGCAGCTAGTAGTGCAGGGAATGGCTTGGAAGATGGCACCACAAAACTACTTTGGAAGTCGCTCCAATAGACCCCGTTATCCACACTTGGGGCACACCTTATAATGTCCTGCAAAGAGGGTTTGCCAAAAACTTAAATTTAATTGTCAGGGTTGAACTCCTGAATTCAGTGAAAAAACAAACTTAACCTGATGGGTGTTTTGTGCTGTCATTGGTGACCAGACAAAGCCCATGAGCTGGCTATAGCTGAGAACGAAGTGTGATCACAGGTAGTTGAAACCCAAATTCAAAACCCTGGAACTCAGCGGTGCCAGCTCAGTGCTCTGGTCCTCAGGTGAGCCACCCGGTCAACTTGGGGCTGCCTTTGTTTTGTCGGCCCACACGCTGCCAAGTGTGACTCTCACGGGAATGTTTGAGATCACGATTTCTGATGCACAATGTTAACCTGGGCATTAAGTCTGGTTTCCAGGGTGGCGTCTTGGGAGGAGAGGATGCCGTTCTTCATCCGGCTTTCCCTCTGCACCGACTGCAGAAGTTGCGTCGTATCCTGTGGATGGATGCACATGAGCCTTTTACCTACTGCGTATGCAGTGAGGGTTCCTCCAGTCCATCAAGGAATACTGACTATAATTGTTTAAACTTTGAGCCGGGCAATATAGTTGATGATGATGATGAGTTAAGATCAGGCCAGCAAGATACCTGTATAAGAGGAGACTGGGATGATGGGTCATTAAGATTTGTGAAACTCCCAAACCTACTAGGCTGCTGTGAGATGGGCTAGATGGCGGGCGGTACAATGGGTTCATGAATCTGTCTGTGGACCTTTGAGTGGCATCTCCTAGCAGGAGTGCTGTATTTGGGTATGGCACCTCAACGACCACGGGAAAAAAAAGTTTCACAACATTTGTGTGATCAACCAACCCTCGTCTGTATTACAGAGTAATCGCAATGCTAAAAATGTAGAGCTACCAAATGCACTGGTTTGGCAGGGACAGCCCTACTTTCAGAAAAGGCTTTCCCACAGTCCCAAAACATTTGAAAAAGTGGGATATCCCAGTTTAAAATGTTCTAGCCTCATCCTCCACCCATGACACATGCAAAAAGCGGGGTGACCTAAGGAATGGGCGAGGTTGGCAGAGTGGACAGGGCCTATGAGCAGTAGGCAGGACCAGCATCAGAGAGCTGAAGGAGGCCACTCATCTCACTGTGTGGGTGGGTCTAGCAGTTGAGTGGGCGTGACGATGTAAAACTAGGCGGGGCTAAAGGAGGGAGGGGCTGTCCGCTCACCATGTGTTCCAATTAAGCCTCCCAGACAATTTGGTGGCTTTATGTGCGAACGTGTCATTCCCTGCTGCCCCTGAATGAGTTACCAGCACGGTCTGCTTCAGGTGCTGCAGCTTCTCTGTCCGCATGAGTCTTCGCGTCAGGAATCCTTTCCCGACGGCAGTGACGACCTCAATCGCTCGGCGCAAGCCGGGGCTGTCGGCGGCCTGCGGTCGGTGGCACGCGATGTCGCGTGCCAGGGGGTCGGGAGATATTTAGATGTAAGCGTGCGAGTCACGTACACAATTCACCAATTGCATCGATTAAAGTAACAATAATTAGAATTAGGTGGAACAATGACATCGGATTGCGTACAGGTGTTGGGTGAATTGTTGCACCATGGTGGCGGGTTGGGGAGGCCTTCATCCAGGAGTGGAATGATCTTGGCTGATTATGATATGGGTGATTTCAGAGTAATTGAATAATAATAATGGCGATGCATTCGGCATGTCAATGAAACGGGTTGGTAAGTACCACACCGACCAGCTGTTATAAGCCATACAACGTTTATAAATTAGAATGAGGCTCTGTGTCCCATGCTGTACAGTAATTTCATTATCATGGAACTGATCATTGCAAAATTTTGCTTGTTTGGCTAACGCACTCGAACTAGCCAACTATATCCTAATCCTAGGCCTAACCATAATCATGCTAGCCAACCAAAGATTGACCCTACTCTTATCCATAATCATAGTAGCCAACCAGGCCATAAACCTAGCATTAACCTTCATCATACGCAGACTCTAATCTTAGCCTTGGCCCAATTCAAACTAGCCTATGAACTCAAAACCTAATATTAACCTGAACCACACGAACGAACCAAACCCTAACGATCACCTCGACCTTCTCCACAGTGGTAAATCAGTCACTAACGCTGGCACTTCAAAAGACCTCTGGTCACTTGCATAAAATACCTGAAGTGAAAATAATCCCCTGAATTGACATTGATTGAATTAGGAAGCCAATGGAATGTTGTACTTAAACTGCCTTATGCAATGGACCCCCCGGATACTTAAATCACCTTCTCCCTACCTCCTGCTCCCTCCTGAATTGCTCCCTATTTGTGGCTGTCATGGCACGCCGTGCGCTCCGTACCCTGGCCAGGAGGGCCCTGAAGGTCGGAGGAGGCTCCAGCCTCGCCGAGTAGTGCATGGGGCCTCCCTGCGAGTGAGGCCACGCGCTCAGCGATTCCTGCTTCCATGGTGGGGTTGCAGCGCACGTGACCTTCCCTGAGGCTGAGGCCACACACGGCGCGCACACGATCCAACAACACATTTCAATGCCCCGTCGAGGTGTATGTGCGCATGTTGAACATATTTCGTATCGTATGTGGCCAACCCTGCTAATCAGAGACGATTTATTGATTGGAAATGTTTTGTTTATAATTATTGGTTATGTATCGACTGTGGGGTTATGTAAAAGACAGCACAAGGTAGTGCGGTAAAATCCATTGAACTGTACTATGCTCTAACGTGTATGCATCCTGCCTTCACCAACCCACACTGACCAGCATGGTGAAGTACTGTTAAATAACCCCCACAATCCACATGGTGTTGGGAGGCTGTCGTCTAGCAGTGGACTGGCAAAGGGTTGCACATGTACATCACAGATAATTATCAGGGTCTGTTTCACCACCTACTTAAACAAATGCTGCTTGAAAACTGGGGCCCAAAAGGCTCATGAGCGGATAGTCAAAAATGTACTCCCACGTGTATAAACATGGTCAAACTATGGTCTGCTAATATATGAACAGCTAAAATTCAACAACTAGACGTCGACACGGCAACACTTATCTTATAGACATGCACCTGGGCTGTGCTTTACAGGGTGTTCTACCCAAGTAATGTACAAAGCCTCTTTAATGAGAAAAAAGCCATTAATTGTATAGTCAAATGCACCATTATAGAACATCAAAGTGATCCGGGTCCTATTGTCGTTTGTCAATGCAGTGATGTCACGGGATCACGATGACAGATGGTCTTTCCATAACTTTAAAGTCTTTTTTAACTAACAAAGCCTCAAATGTGTGTCAGATAGCTCGAAACACACCACTTACGTGTGCATTTCCATTTAAATAAATTAAGAGTTATTTGTTTCGTCAGTTGTGCCTTCCTTCAAGCAGTGCACATGTAAAAGTAATTCTGTCGTTCAAATATTTCCATCCAACAAGCTGTTGGAACCAACTTATATCAATAACAACAAAAAGAACAGTCACACGAGGTGACTGCATGTTTTTTAAGCTAAACCTTTTAGCGAACATTTAAAACCTGAAAAACATTCGGGTGAAAGTATTTTTGTCCACCATGTGCTCAGAAACTGCAGTGTTAAGAAAACCCCGACTGTAAACGCAGTCAGTCCTCCAAAGGGCAACACCTTTTAGGTGAAAAGCAAAACTAAATAAACCCACCGAATATTTAAACAAATGCAGCACTCGCCTGATCTGGGCGTTGTTTGCGTTGGCGGGGCGCGTGCATTCCCATTGCTGTGTTGGCTCACTGGCCACCGGCCACCACCGATACCATTACCATCATTGCCTCCGTTCAACGCAGTGCCGCCAAACTCCAGCCTGCGTTTCACCTCTGCATCCGAGCAAGATCGGCAGGAGCTGGGCCGCCCCGATTCTCCATCGCCCGCCACTTCCCGCAAGCGACTGGCTAGCAGCACGGGCGATGGCTCGTCCACGTTGTACGAGCAGTTCAGTGGAGAAAAGCGGTCTCCGTGCAGCATCTTGCCCTTGCCGGGACGACTCGCGAGGGCAGGACAGGGGCTGCCGCTCATCTTGGGGCTCGGCAGGCAGCTGTAGGAGCTGCTGGAGCCACTGCTGCTGGAGCTCAAGCGCGAGACACTGCGCTTGTTCGGGGGCAGCCCCTCCTCCGAGTTGGAGCGACCAGGCTCGCATGTCCAGTTCTTGGCAAATGATATGGTTTGAGGCCGCCTTAAACTGTGTTGTGAATTTGCAGTGGTGCTGCTGCTGATGTTGCTATTGCTGCTGCCGACTTTGTTGCCTCTACTGCTGTTGTTGTAGTTGCTGCTGCGTGCGGTGGCCGAGTCCTGGGTGGGTTTTAACCTTCTGTCCTTTGACTCCTCATGGCTCAAACTAAGTTTGATCTCAGCGGGTGAGGTGTCGTGGTGCTCATCTTCATTTTGTTTTCTGTGGCTTTGTTGCAACGTTTCCTTCGCAGGTGACTCTTTCTCTTCATTATCGACGTGCGTGTGCAATCTGTCTTCTGCGTGCGATGCTCGTTCATCGTATTTGGCACAAGCCACGTCGTTTAAATGGCTACTCTTCTGCGATTTGACGTTCTCCTGCAAAGGCAAAAATAAAATAAACAAGTATACCGGGAGGTCGTTTATTTCAACCCACATGCAAACATAATAAAACAGTTGAGAAAAATTGCCATGAACTGATTACAACATTATTAACACTCTAGCCATATAAATAAATTGTTGGTGCATGATTACACAACCACCCATGGCGGGAAATGGTAGTGGTCTGGTATTTTTCAGAGGACTCTTTAGCTACATGACGAAATGCGACAATGTGCTGAGACCTTCATGCAGCAGTGAATAATAATAATAACAATAATATTCTTGGTTCTTTCGGTAAAGTCACGTAGAAGGGAAACAATAAAATAATAAAAATATAAAACAATTACATTATCACGACGTTTCGACTGCAACACAAGCAATCATCATTAGGTGTGAAAACCACAGCAATAAAAATTATCTTGCTGTGGTTTTCACACCTGATGATGATTGCTTGTGTTGCAGCCGAAACGTCGTGATAATTTTATTGTTTTATATTTTTATTATTTTATTGTTTCCCTTCTACGTGACTTTACCGAAAGAACCAACAATATGAATCTCTGCAGTCACGAAAGCTTTAAATCAACAATAATAATGAGAGGCAACTAGTGATCAGAGCACCTGGCCACCTTTATCCATGTAATACATGGTCTTGCGCTTTCACTATGCAAATTCCACTGCAAGATGTGGGATTCATATCAAACCACCTTACATTTCCACTACAAATAAGTTCCACCTTTACATAGGCCACAGCTCACTAGACCTTCTTGGATCAGGCTTAATAGATTGGTCATTGGCTATGTTTTATTTAGCACACGCTGATCCGACACCATTTCGGTTTGCGCATAATGCCCACCGCATGCGACTGCAAAGCTGCCCAACAAACGGCCATCCACATTGTATAGGACTGCCCGTTACGACGACGCACTGCTGGAAGGTGGATTATGAAGGTTGATTGCACTTGATCACGTGGCAATTGAGTGACCGAGTGATTCGGGTACCAATCTGTGATAGCAAACGCAGGAAAAAGATCCATTTACGTAAAAGCTAAGCAGCTGCACCTTGGCGGAGATGAAAACCCTGCACACGTTCTCCCTGGGCGACCGCTGATCGCGCGTTCTGCGTCTCTGAACGCCGAGGGCTGAAGCTCGAAGGTTCCGCATGGTGTGCCTGCTTTCTGAACTCAGCTTCTCGATCAGAAGTCAGAGTCCAACACAGACAGACAGATGAACAAATTAAGACATGGACGGACAGACAGGTTCCCCCCTGAGGCAGGCAGGGAGGAAGTTTTATTAAAAGCACATTGATAGCCTGATCAAACACCACTGTCCCTTAGCAAAGGTAACTGGAGAAAATTTGGTGAAAAATACACATAAAGTACATACACTAAAATAGATTTTTAAAATATTTTTAAAGAGACCTAACTTATACACCTCCAATTAACACCTCCAATTAGTAAAGTTGGCTACATACGGTGCGACAAAAAGTTAATTACACATACAAAAATCATGAGACTCAATGAACTTATATCCCATTGTCAATCCATTTCTGGTTGAGGAATTGCCCATGAACTGTCAGTCATAGGGGTTGGTTGACCATACGTTACTATGCCGGTCAGTGCATGTTGGTAAAGGGGGTGCCACCGACTGCTACATATATCACTCGCCACTTATGTTAGCCAAGGTCAGGAATTGAACTTAGGTGAAGAGGTTCATGATTCATGGACCAGTGACGTGTCCTAGGCGAAGCGCGATTGCCGCTTGCTGCAGAGGTTCACTGTTTGACTCCAGCGGCTGCTCTGATTACCACTGTGAATGTAATAACCATAACAAATATATATGCTCCGTCCACTTCTCCAATGCACGTAAAGATTTGCTGACCTCAATCACAAGAGTAGGTTTAAGTCATTGTCTTCCGGCGTCCGGGTCTAAATATGCCAAATTCGAATATGATCCGCAAATTATTCAATTGGGACCGTGCATAGTAATCATTGCCATCTACTAGTGATCTAATTCATCAGTAGATGGTCACTTTTGCAAATTTGACTCTCCTGGTCTCTTGAGTTCTCTCCTGGTTTTACGAAATAAAATTTGAAACCAATGTGCCAGCACTCCACGTCAAACAATGTTATACTGAACTAAACATTGTATTTAAGAAAGACGTATTAAGTCTCAACGTTATTTTTACGACTGTGTCCACGTGTGAACGATAGGGATGCAACGTATTGCTTGGAGTGGTACACCGGTCCCCTGGGCTCACGCACTGCTCACCAGCGGGGGCAGAATGGGAATCCCCAGGAATTGTACGGTCGATTTCGTCGGAGTTGGACGCCATTCTCCGAGACACCTCTCTCCTGGGCTCCTCTCTACCGGGTCGTACGGCGCTTGGAAGGAGATCCTGGCCAGGGCTTGGCTTACAAACTCCTCATAGCTCTCCATGATGCACACTGCCCCTGTGAATAAGCACACCACGTCATTCGTGCCAGCTAAGTGACCCATGCAACCAATCAATAATTGTCTCAATTAAACAATATGGCCTAGGTGATCAAACTGACCCGTATGAGCCAGGTGGTCGAGTCGATCAGATAACACTGTGTAACAAAAAAATGTTTTTTTTTGTTCCTGGGTAGTAAGTGTTATTTCACAAAAGCAAAGTTCGTGGGGAATAATAGCCATTTTCTATACTTTTGAGGCATAAGCAATTAGAAAATAACACTTACTACCCAGGAACAAAAATCATGTTACATAGTGTAATCAAAGGCACAGGGTCACCCACGTGATTTAAGTGAGCCTTGTAATTCATGTGATCAATGTGACTATGGTATACTCTAAACTAAAACTTTTTTTTTACCAGGTAAAGCCCACTGAGCTATGTAGCTATTTTTCAGAAGCGATCTGGCCATAAATGATAGCTCAACGAAGTGGCTTATCTAGTGCAAACGTATAGCAGGCAAATATTCTAAACGCATGTTGCTAAATGTGGAGGGGAAAACCGGAGGACCCGGAGAAAAATCCACGCGACCACGGGGAGAGACAGACACCGCAAACTCCAAATATACAGCAGGCGTCAGGGTCGGGATTGAGCTCACGACCATCCTGTATACCAGGCGAGGCAGTTAACATCTCGTCACCGTGGTACCCCACTCATGTAGCTCTATGGGCTCAGGTGACGCCAATTGATCCCCAGCAAGGCTCCTCTTGTACCCACCGCACGCTGGCTGCCTCCTCGTCCTCCTACGCGGGGCTTCAGGCGGCCCGGGGATCCTCTTCACGTCGGCTTGAGGTTCTCTGGCTCGCCAGACGCGACGAGACCCGGCCGGACAGCATCGCCACTCTGCTCTCCGCTCCAGCCTCAGCCTGCCCAGCCGCACTTTCACCCAGGCCGGTGGATGCGTGACCCCCTCAAATCAGCCTCCACGTCGCCGCGTTCGCTGCTCGGCCACTCCGGTCTCTCTCCTCGTGTCTTCCCCGAGTTCTCCTCGCCCTTGGTCGCGGGGCAGGCGTCCGAATGGGGACCGCACAAAACGGTCCTGCACCTAGATCCCGATGTTTCTTGGCCCGTCGGTCCTAGATCCTGCACCCATTGTCCCCAACGATATCCTCGCCTCCTCTCTCACAAACACCCGCTCCTTGCGTCTCTTCTCCCTGGTCCTCTCTCCCCGGGTCCCCTACCCCTCGGTCTTGGTTCCTAGACCTGGGGTCCTTCGATTTGAATCCCGTTGTCTCTTAGCTCTGGGCAGCACCCGCAGCAGAAGGTCTCTCTCGATTACCGATTCGCTTCCTCCCTCTGGATCTTGGCTCCCTTCCTCTTGGACCCTGGATCTCGTATCGTAGATCGTTTCTCGCAGATCTCCGGCTTCGTTATTCTCCCTTCTCTCTCCCTGGTTGCGTTGGTCTCGGTGCACAGTTCCTCTCTATGTACGTAATGTATGCTCAACTTCTTTCGCACCGTACGTAGCCAAGCGCGCTAATCGGAGGTGGTTCTGCGTCCCTGTGTCTCAGCTCTACTCCTATCCCCTCCACTTGGTTTTCTTCTCCAGCTCCCTTGTTCTGGATACTCAGGGGTCCCCTGGTCTCAGATCCTGAGTACCCCCCCTCGTCGATTCCTTTCCACTATCCCTGTCCCTCTCCCGTGCACTCTCCCTGTCTCTCTCCCACTCTCCCGTCCACTCTCCCTGTCCACTCTCCCTGTCCACTCTCCCTGTCTACTCTCCCTGTCTCTCACTGTCTCTCTCCCACTCTCCCTGTCTCTCCCGTCCACTCTCCCTGTCTCTCTCCCACTCCCCCGTCCACTCTCCCTGTCCACTCTCCCTGTCCCTCTCCCGTCCACTCTCCCTGTCTCTCCCGTCCACTCTCCCTGTCTCTCCCGTCCACTCTCCCTGTCTCTCCCTGTCTCTCTCCCACTCTCCCTGTCCACTCTCCCTGTCTCTCCCGTCCACTCTCCCTGTCTCTCTCCCACTCCCCCGTCCACTCTCCCTGTCCACTGTCCCTCTCCCGTCCACTCTCCCTGTCTCTCCCGTCCACTCTCCCTGTCTCTCCCCGTCCACTCTCCCTGTCTCTCCCGTCTACTCTCCCTGTCTCTCCCTGTCTCTCTCCCACTCTCCCTGTCCACTCTCCCTGTCTCTCCCTGTCCACTCTCCCTGTCTCTCCCTGTCTCTCCCGTCCACTCTCCCTGTCTCTCTCCCACTCTCCTGTCCACTCTCCCTGTCCCCCTCTCCTGTCCACTCTCCCTGTCTCTCCTTGTCACTCTCCCTGTCTCTCCCTGTCTCTCTCCCGCTCTCCCTGTCTCTCCCCGTCCACTCTCCCTGTCCCCCTCTCCCTCGCTCTCGGCTGGCGTCTCGTTGCCACGGCAACGCCATTTGGGTTGCCCGGGCGGGTGACGTCACTTCGCCTCGCGGGCGGCCGTTGGCCCCGGTCCATGGACCAATGGGAGCGCGCGTTGCTCACAGGTCAGCCGGCGGTTCCCGGTTGTCTCAACGTGGGGGAGGGCAACGCGCGCCAAATCGCGAGGGGCTCGTCGACGAGGGGCGAGCGGTGAAACTTGGCCGTGGTCCGGGATTCGAACTCAGGCGGCTGGGTTCAAAGCGCCAGCCCCGATATAACTACCCCGCCCCGTCAATTACGAATCGATTAGTTTTCACAACCAAATTTGTACGCTTCGATTTAACTGCTCCGCTCCTCACGGGAATCGATAACGTTCAGTTTTTAGTTTCGGAATCGATTACACCGTTCTACGCTCACGCCCCACGCAAGAATCGTTTCCGCGTGACTGTCACGTGATGATCGCGAATCGATTCAGCCGTCCCTCACGGCACCTCGCTCGAGCGGCAGCTGCTGCTTTGCCCGTCGACGCGCTCCGGTGCCGGTGAAGAAGAAGAATAATAGTTTGCGTGGCGCTCACGCGCGTTATTTGACCATACTTCACCACGCCGGTGAAGTCTCCCGCTGCGTCTGCCGCGCGGGTTATTTCCCGACCAAACTACCAACGCCGCACCGGTTCGCGCCCGTTGGGGGGGAAGGCGGAATGACAAAACAACGATTACATCTCATCGTGATCTGAAGCTTTCGTGACTGCAGGAATCCATACTCTTTGGTTCTTTCCGTTAAAGTCTATTGACAACCGCCGGATCTTAAAACAAACAAAAAACCCCACCCAACCTTTCAAATTCTAGTCGGAAGTCGACACAATTCCATCGATCATCGACTCGATCGATTGATTCACTCCGTTGTATTAACTCCCCGATGATGGTGGTGGTGACGATGTCTCTGGCCTGGAACTCGCTGTGGCTGCTTCTGCTGCTTCTGATGCTGCTGATTCTGTCGAGAAGTCTAAGCAACCGCACCTTGTTGGCCGGCGGGGCCGCGGCCGCCTTTGTGTCCCTGTGCGGCCTACAGAGCTTGCGCTTTGAGCCCGTGTGCCGTCAGAGGGCCCTGCAGGTGCTGAGGCCACGGTTGGGCCCAGGGTCCACGAAGGCCGAGGCCGGGTCGCGTCTCCTTGGCCGTGCCGTGGCCCATCGCGCTGGAGGTCACGACGCACCGGAGAACACCGTGGCGGCAGTGCGCAAGGTGACAACAAATGGTGTACATGACACCGGCCACAGTAACGTCGGATCTTTTGGGCGATGGGCCAAGCAACCGTTGCGGCGAAATGTTAACTACGTCGCCTGGTATTGCAGGAGGTCGTGGGTTTATGGTTTGTTGGCAAAGTCGCTTCTGAAAAAGCCTGGTCAAAACAGGTCCCTGCAGGGTGGGCTGGTAGGATAAGTCTCTGCGCTGTCCATTGCTGATTTTACACCCAACAGCACGAGATTTCACTTCGTTAAAGTATTGAAAGGGGACGGACGGACACATTAATCTATTGCAGGCAGGTACACTCAGTTTACAACTTCGTTCCTACCAGTATAAATATAGTCTATGCCGTGGTCGAATGAGAGGCGTATGCGCACAGGTTGAGCAATGTCATTGCCGGTTTGTGACAGTAGCAGTAGTGTGTCGTGATACTTTACCAAAGGCTACTTTCTAAAACCAAACCGTAAATCATAAACTTTAAACCACCTTCCCATAACACGAAAACTTAAACCCTGGCCATTAAAACATTAACCCTCCTAAATACTGCATCTTAAAACCCTAACTCCAATATTATAACTCGAAACCCTAACCAAAAACCCTCCTAAAGTTTTAATTGAAGTGGCCGTCCATAAATGACGTTACGCGATTTTGGACGATTTCCCCCCCCCCCCTCGTCATACGGCGCCACAAAAAGTCAGACCCCCCTCAAATATGACGTCACAAAGCTCTGCCCCCCCCAAAAATATATATAAAACATGCTTCAAATCGCTTTAAACTATTGTCATTGTAGTGCGTTGCACTCTGATGTTGTAGTAGAAAACATTAAAAGTATATTTAATTAAGTAGAATGTGTTGTCTATATTTAAAGTTGCGCATTTTGATGTGACGTCACATTTCTCAACCCCCCCCCCCCCTCATATTCTTGGTTCTTTCGGTAAAGTCACGTAGAAGGGAAACAATAAAATAATAAAAATATCAAAAATAAAATTCTCACGACGTTTCGACTGCAACACAAGCAGTCATCATCAGATGTGAAAACCACAACAGTGAGGGTTCGTCACAAATGTCTGACCCCCCCCCACGTGCGTGACGTCATTTATGGACGACCCCAAAGCCCTGAACTCTCACCTCAAACCAAAACCGAAACACTAAACCCCAATCCTATTGCAAAATCACAATCCATGAACGCGAGCCATACATCCTAAACGATACAATCTAAATCCTAACTACATTTTAATTGCTCTGGTCTATCTGCAGGGACAATACTATACTTGATAACCAAATTGCCTGCAATGCGCCCAATCTCAAGTCAAACTAAACTATTTTACCAGGTAAGGGCCACTGACCTATATACAGTGAGGGAAAAAAGTATATGATCCCCTGCTGATTTTGTACGTTTGCCCACTGACAAAGAAATGATCAGTCTATAATTTTAATGGTAGGTTTATTTGAACAGTGAGAGACAATAACAACAAAAAAATCCAGAAAAACGCATGTCAAAAATGGGGGACCTTGCGGGCGCTGCAGGATTTCAGTCCTTCACGGCTTTTTTTTTTAAACTACCCCCACCTCTGCACTCAGTGCTATAAATGGCTACACAACTGGATTGGCAGGTCGTGCGTGATGGGGGTAAAGTGTGGGTACTCTCTCTTACAACATGACTGGCCAGCGTGGAAGAGTAGGCTTTAATACATCCCAGAGGGACTCCGCAGAGCACCCTCTTGTGGAGGTTTTTCCTCAAGCAGTGGCGTGAGCATGCAATTGCGGTGCTGCACCTCTACCTTAACGCCGTTCTGCACATGTAATATAGTGGTGGGGATGCGGAGGGGCTCGCTAACAGCACTTGCCCCAACAATCTGCCGGTCTATATGGGGGATCTTTGTATTTAGGGTGCGATAACAAAGGTCAACAGGGGCTCTACTGCCATCTCCTGGTAATTTTCTGGCCAGGTGGCTAAGAAGTCAAGAGTGCTGAATTGGCATCTCTGTGTTCCTGGGTTTAAATATAGGCAGCCGCCTGTGATTAAAGCAGATTAATCAAGTTTGTGAGTTCACGGTCTCAGCTCGGTTACCATTGACTGCCCAAAAATGTATCAGATTAAATTTGATGATGCACTTTATTTGGCTAAATTCCAACTCTTGAGAATTAAATGTGAGTTTATACTGTCATGCGATTCTTCTGGCGTATGGTTAGATTATGTGTGAAAACATAAACTGTCATGCGATGAAGCTTCAGTTCCCTTTTTGAAGAAACTGCCAGGGCATTGAGTGAAACTAAAACTAAACTATTTTTATTTTACCAGGTAAGGCCCACTGAGCTACAGAGCGCATTTACAGAAACGGCCTGGTCATAACTGCTAGCTCGACGAAGTTGCTTATCGTGCGGATGATTTATAGCAACCAACCAAATACTCGAAATGCATGTTTCTAAAAAATGTCCGCATGTTTGCAACATCGGACATTGTGCCAACCAAACACGTGGTACAACCCGAAAACACATCGGAGAGCCATCAGCTATTTTCGTTGTAATAATCAGACCGAAACCTGCTTGGTTTGCGATATCCGATGAACTCATTACATCCCCAAGTGAGTATCGAACATATGTGATCGCTGAATTCCCACCCGCGCACGTGAGCAGGCAGCCACCAATGGCGCGCAGGCTGTGGAGCTGGACATGGCGTTCACAGAGGACGGAGTGGCAGTGCTCATGCACGACGACACGGTGGACCGCACCACGGATGGCAGCGGCCCCATCGGCGCCATGTCGCTGGCCAACCTGCGTAACCTCGACGCCTCTGCCTACCATCGCCTCCGGTGAGTGGGCGCACCGCCCTGCTGCACATGCAGCTGCTCCCCCCTGCTGCTGCTGAATAACTGTATTACCACCAGTTAAGTGCCAACAGATTTGAATTCAGTTTTGCAGTTCATATAAAGGACCTCATAAGGTAAATTATTTGGTATGGGGGATGAGTGGTGATAAAACAGTCAAGGGAAGAAATTGATGATACAAAGAGGGGTTCCCAAGCCCCATGTTCCCATCAAACTAAGTGTAGCTTTGCTGCTGATGGTGCGTGGGATGCTGCTGCTGCCACTGATGGTGATGCTTCTGGTGATAATGCTCTGATACTGATAAGCACGATGATGCTGTGGCATGAGTGGTGGTAAGATATCAAAAGGGAAGCAAAGAAAATCCAAATACGACCCTCAATTATACAAGCTGCAGGCCCTAATCAAACTCGGTGCCGCCCTGCGTGCTTGACGGGATCCGTACGCTTGTGCCTTGCATCATCCCGCAGCGAGCAGTTCAAGGGCGAGAGGGTGCCCACCCTGGAGGAGGCCGTGGACGAGTGTCTCCAGTTGAACCTCATCATTTACTTCGATGTGAAGGGCGACGCCGAAAAGGTTTCTGTATGCCTCCATCCACCTCGGCGCATAAGGCACACTCTGTCCCGCTTCATGCCTTGTGGCGGGTCTTACTTCGCCGAACTTAAGTATTTAAAGGTTTTGATTTAAAGCTTTCGTGACTGCAGTAATTCATATTCTTAGTTTTTTCGGTAAAGTCACGTTGAAGAGAAACAACAAAATAACAAAATATATATAAAACAATAAAAAATTCTCACGACGTTTCGACCATAACTCAAACGGTCATCATCAGGTGTGTCGGTTTGCATAAATTTATTTTGAAAACGGCATATTTATTTATATATATAAAAATAACGTTTGCGTCACGCGCAACGATGGCAGTTTGCCAGGACTAGTCCATCTATTTTTTGAAAAGAGGAGGGGGGAGACGAAATTTGTTTTTATGTAAGCTGTCTGAAAGGCACTGTAAGCGTGAACAATCAATCAAGAACTGAAATGATTTATCAAATCTTTCCAATGATTGCTAAGATAGAATCCATCTTCTCGGTTGAAATTGTCTCTGTGTTTGTATATGTGGATAGCCTCATGAACGAATCTCTCATGGAAGCCAGATGGCTTACAAAGAACCTCCGTCTTGGAAAAGTCAATGGCATGTGAGCCTACTGAATTAGAACAATGATCTGCTACGGCCGAGGTGTTGGTCCTACCGTGTTTAAGGTCTGCTTTATGTTCACGAATGCGGTCCGAGATATGGCGTTTGGTTTCTCCAATGTAACTACTACCACAGAGGCAACTTAGTTTGTAGACACCAGGGTATTGTATGTCCGGAATCACATCTTTTACAGACGGAACCAGATCACGGATTTTATGTAATGTGTTGAAACGGACCTGGATCTTGTGTTTATTCAAGATTTTGGAGATCTTTTTTTGTGATCCCATCAATGTAGGGTAAAGTGATGGTTTTGAAAGGCTCCTCAAGAGGGTTCTTCTTCATGGTTTGAGTGATAGCTTTGCGGATTGTATAGTCGGAGTAACCATTAGCCCTAAGAGCTTGGTGTACGTGCTTGAGTTCACTGCTTATGTGTTCCTGGTCGGATATGCATTGGGCTCTATGATACAGAGTCTTGATGAGAGAATTCTTCTGTGATGGATGGTGGTGGGAATCCGGTTTCAGATAAGCATCCGTATGGGTAGCTTTCCTGTAGACAGAGTGGCTCATTGAACCATCAGGTCTCTTTTTAATTAGGACATCCAAAAAAGGTATCTTGCCATCTATTTCGACTTCCATGGTAAATCTGATGGCTGGGTGTATGGAATTGATGTGGTCGAAGAATTTGTCTAGAGCAGGCCGGCCATGTGGCCAGATGACAAAAGTGTCATCCACGTACCTCTTCCATAAGGTTGGGCGCAGAGTGGCAGTCTGGATGGCGTCAGTCTCAAATTTCTCCATGAAAATGTTAGCTATAACTGGAGAAAGGGGGGAGCCCATTGGGGTGCCCTCAGTTTGTTTGTAGAAAGTTCCATTCCAAGTGAAGTATGTATTGGTTAAACAGTGTCTCACCAGGGGGGGTACCTCAGTGTTTAGTCCTTGATGAACCAAGTCTTCAATGATTGCAATGGTGTCAGGTACAGGAACCTTGGTGAATAAGGAAACTACATCAAAACTGACAAGCAGGTCGTCTGGGGACAGGGAAATACCCTTGATTGTTGATACCAGGTGAGTAGAATTTTGTACCGCAGAGGTGGTCTTTCCAGTGAAAGGACGCAGGATTTCAGACAAAAAACGAGCTAGTTTGTAGGTGGGGGAGCTGATAGTAGAGACTATGGGACGAAGAGGTGTATCAACTTTATGTATTTTTGGTAAGCCGTATAATCTTGGTGGCCTGGCAGCAGAAGGTTTCAACGAAAACTGTTTAGATTGATCAATTAATGTGGTTGAATCAGAAATTATTTTGTTGGTTTGTGTGACGAGGCTGTTGGTGGGATCTCTTTTTATTTTTGTATAACTACCATCGTCGAGTAATTCTTTAATTTTGTTGTTGTATTCTATTTTATCCATGATAACAGTAGCATTGCCTTTGTCAGCTGAGAGAACTACAATATCATTCCTCTTTTTTAATTTATATAATTCAAAACGCTCATCTTTGCTGAGGTTGCTAGCTGGCATCTTAGCGTTTTTGAGGGTTGCAGCGATTTCAGATCTTGCTACGTCTGCAGCGATGTGACCCAGGCCCCTGAGAGCAACGTCTACTTGGGCAATTATATCATTAACTGGTATGTGTTTAGGTGTGACTGCAAAGTTTAGACCTTTAGCTAAAACGGATTTCAGACCATCGGAAATAGAACTGTTACTGCGATTAATTACGACTTTATTAACGTCTAACTTTTTGGTGTGTGGGTCCGGTCTTTTGTTTAAGAGGAGGTTAAATTTGGAAATCAGGTTTTCCTTACATTTGGTCGACATCGTAGCAGCTGAAGAGGCAGTCATATAGTCTACATGTTCCCAATCCGATGTGGACATTATTGCCGTCAATGATAAGTGTGATTTGTAGAGTGTCTTGTCTAACTGATCTAGTTCTGTGCGTATAAGTCTGATTTTTTCTGAGATAAGAGCTAAGCTAGTTTTGAAAAGAATTCGTTTCGCATTAGAAGAAGTTACAGTAGCAGAGGTGAGTGTAAATGCGATTGGTATTACCCCAGAGTCGCGGCATCTCTTCAGGAAGGTGAGAGACTCGATCAGCTGAGCTTTCTTATCCCGGAGTTTGTTGAAAGATCTTAAAGTTATGTGAAAACCCTCCCCGTAGAGGCGATTAAATTTTGATTTAAAGCTTTCGTGACTGCAGTAATTCATATTCTTAGTTTTTTCGGTAAAGTCACGTTGAAGAGAAACAACAAAATAACAAAATATATATAAAACAATAAAAAATTCTCACGACGTTTCGACCATAACTCAAACGGTCATCATCAGGTGTGTCGGTTTGCATAAATTTATTTTGAAAACGGCATATTTATTTATATATATAAAAATAACGTTTGCGTCACGCGCAACGATGGCAGTTTGCCAGGACTAGTCCATCTATTTTTTGAAAAGAGGAGGGGGGAGACGAAATTTGTTTTTATGTAAGCTGTCTGAAAGGCACTGTAAGCGTGAACAATCAATCAAGAACTGAAATGATTTATCAAATCTTTCCAATGATTGCTAAGATAGAATCCATCTTCTCGGTTGAAATTGTCTCTGTGTTTGTATATGTGGATAGCCTCATGAACGAATCTCTCATGGAAGCCAGATGGCTTACAAAGAACCTCCGTCTTGGAAAAGTCAATGGCATGTGAGCCTACTGAATTAGAACAATGATCTGCTACGGCCGAGGTGTTGGTCCTACCGTGTTTAAGGTCTGCTTTATGTTCACGAATGCGGTCCGAGATATGGCGTTTGGTTTCTCCAATGTAACTACTACCACAGAGGCAACTTAGTTTGTAGACACCAGGGTATTGTATGTCCGGAATCACATCTTTTACAGACGGAACCAGATCACGGATTTTATGTAATGTGTTGAAACGGACCTGGATCTTGTGTTTATTCAAGATTTTGGAGATCTTTTTTGTGATCCCATCAATGTAGGGTAAAGTGATGGTTTTGAAAGGCTCCTCAAGAGGGTTCTTCTTCATGGTTTGAGTGATAGCTTTGCGGATTGTATAGTCGGAGTAACCATTAGCCCTAAGAGCTTGGTGTACGTGCTTGAGTTCACTGCTTATGTGTTCCTGGTCGGATATGCATTGGGCTCTATGATACAGAGTCTTGATGAGAGAATTCTTCTGTGATGGATGGTGGTGGGAATCCGGTTTCAGATAAGCATCCGTATGGGTAGCTTTCCTGTAGACAGAGTGGCTCATTGAACCATCAGGTCTCTTTTTAATTAGGACATCCAAAAAAGGTATCTTGCCATCTATTTCGACTTCCATGGTAAATCTGATGGCTGGGTGTATGGAATTGATGTGGTCGAAGAATTTGTCTAGAGCAGGCCGGCCATGTGGCCAGATGACAAAAGTGTCATCCACGTACCTCTTCCATAAGGTTGGGCGCAGAGTGGCAGTCTGGATGGCGTCAGTCTCAAATTTCTCCATGAAAATGTTAGCTATAACTGGAGAAAGGGGGGAGCCCATTGGGGTGCCCTCAGTTTGTTTGTAGAAAGTTCCATTCCAAGTGAAGTATGTATTGGTTAAACAGTGTCTCACCAGGGGGGGTACCTCAGTGTTTAGTCCTTGATGAACCAAGTCTTCAATGATTGCAATGGTGTCAGGTACAGGAACCTTGGTGAATAAGGAAACTACATCAAAACTGACAAGCAGGTCGTCTGGGGACAGGGAAATACCCTTGATTGTTGATACCAGGTGAGTAGAATTTTGTACCGCAGAGGTGGTCTTTCCAGTGAAAGGACGCAGGATTTCAGACAAAAAACGAGCTAGTTTGTAGGTGGGGGAGCTGATAGTAGAGACTATGGGACGAAGAGGTGTATCAACTTTATGTATTTTTGGTAAGCCGTATAATCTTGGTGGCCTGGCAGCAGAAGGTTTCAACGAAAACTGTTTAGATTGATCAATTAATGCGGTTGAATCAGAAATTATTTTGTTGGTTTGTGTGACGAGGCTGTTGGTGGGATCTCTTTTTATTTTTGTATAACTACCATCGTCGAGTAATTCTTTAATTTTGTTGTTGTATTCTATTTTATCCATGATAACAGTAGCATTGCCTTTGTCAGCTGAGAGAACTACAATATCATTCCTCTTTTTTAATTTATATAATTCAAAACGCTCATCTTTGCTGAGGTTGCTAGCTGGCATCTTAGCGTTTTTGAGGGTTGCAAGCGATTTCAGATCTTGCTACGTCTGCAGCGATGTGACCCAGGCCCCTGAGAGCAACGTCTACTTGGGCAATTATATCATTAACTGGTATGTGTTTAGGTGTGACTGCAAAGTTTAGACCTTTAGCTAAAACGGATTTCAGACCATCGGAAATAGAACTGTTACTGCGATTAATT